GAAGAACTCGTTCAATTTTTTTATTAAGATAACTAACACGAAACCAAAAGGGAAGAAAATTTTGTTCCAAGTCGATAAACCCAGTAAAACCTGATAAGTTTTTGTGAACCAGTGAGCTTGGTACTTTTATGACAAATGACAAGAGACAGACAATGTTCAGTGTTTATCAGTTATGATGTCTTACATTAGTTGCGTACGACTCTGATCATCTACTTGCCTTTTTAAAAATACAAGTGATCACGAAACAGATACTGAGATCCAGGTCTCACCTAAAAAAGGTTGTAGTGCCACTGGTTTTTTTAACTCATTTTTGTTAGAAATAACTAAAACATGACTAAAGAAAAATATCATATCCGTTATTATGAGATTTTCTTTATTTTATACTAGCGTTTTACGCAGCAGATATGCAGAAGTGTGAGCGAAGATTGTGATACTTCTATCACGTCAGCAGATTAAGAACAAAATCTGATACGATTCTACATACTGGAGTAATTCTTATAAGTCTCGTTTCTGAATATCACCCTGAATCATGCAATTATACTAAAACCGCATAGTAAATATTTAAACACAATTTGAATAAAACAAAAAATAACTATATAAATAACTTACTCATTCATAAAATACAAATAAAATATTTTATTAACACGAATCTATGTTGCAATATTTTTATATAAAAAATTACACCATATTAATAGTTTTGGTGAAACCCTCCTTATTACCTCATTACTAGTTGTATTTTTAATTAGACGAAGCCAACTGACAGTAGCTAATGTCACTTTGTAAAAAAAATTAAACAAAGTGCCAGCCATATTTAAAGTAATAGTGATACGTTCCGTTCTTGTTCAATCAGATGAATGAACAATGAGTGTAAACTGTGAATAGTTAATCATTTCAAACTATAAAATAATATTATTTCTATTTTAAAATTGTAGAAAAGTGCTCTTATATAAGTTAGGTACTAGTAGTATGTAACAACAATCAGTTTTTTGACGGCTTATTACAAAGCGCGGCGTGGTGACTAGTGCCATCACCGATCATTAATTCAGAAGTTTTGACAAAACTGACAACACCGTAAACGTCAGTTGACTTCGTCTAATTAAAAATACGACTATGGGTACATTATAACTATGTTTATAAAAATTATGAATATACACGCTCTTGAGACGTTTTTCGTCCTACTATTTGCAAGTTCTTATTGAATTTTGTTGCCATAGCAACAAAGCTGAATTGTAATAATATGCACATACGAAACAATTCTGAGGCACGGCGTCTTTTACGCCGAATTTATTACGTGATTGCTAAATACACTACATAAAGATCTATACGACGTAATGCTATCTCGTAAAATATGGATATCATTCTGAATCATTCTCTACATACTAATGCCTTGATGGCTCACTACGCCATCGGATTAGCGCTAACGATCAACTTACATTTAGAGGTTCTAGGCGAAAACTGCTTCGGATTAGTAGGTACGAGATAAACTACGTTCTGAACAAAAATCACCAGAATTATCAGTCGAAACTGTTTTATTATTCCTTCAAAATCACGTGAATTGTATTGACGTCTTTATGGTTCTGAATCTGAGGTTAGGTTAGTCATGATAATTAAAAGAATCCACAGATAAAACAATTGACAGAAAACATTTAGTTCGCGCCTACGACCTCTAATAGATAAAAAGACCAAACAAATGTGATATAATATTCAGGGAGACCGCTTATATGGGCTTTCCATAGAAAGCTGCACTCAGAGTCGTTCCTTAAGGGTTTATAGCTTAAGCCGTCCAGTAAAAAAATAGAATTAGTTCACCATTCGTTTTAGTCAAAGCTAGGAAAGGTGTTTCAATACCCTATGCTTCTTCTTCGTCAACAAAGAAGACATGAAATTTTAAAGTCGAGTTGCGTAATAAGTAAGATTTATTATTACAATTACTGTTTACTACAGTTTTCTCCCAAAGCAATAATTATTATTTCCATACACCCAGAATTTCGGGGTTATGACGCATAAACTAAATAGATAATTATAAAAATTCAAAATTATAATCATGACAGTTTAACTTTCACTCCTATTTATAAGATAAATAACAATACATTTTAGCTAAACAAGCTTCCAAGACTATGTCAATGAAACTGAAGCGAGACGCTAGTATTTCAATCAGACTTTATCAAGGCCCATACATTGGAAGGAATTATTGCCTATTGCATAAGGCATATTGCATTCACATAAGAATGTTAGGTAGGTATATAAATTGCCTAGCTGCCAATGAAAACACTTTCATGCAGAATTCATTTGAAAATATAACAAGTTTCTTTGCTATTTTTATTTGTATCATCCTTTCAGTTTAGTGAATCCGAATAGAATCAACGTTACAGTTCCCAAAATGACAGATTATTAATCTAGACATTATGATAAATATATTTGATATCAATATTAGCTATTATTGATTTAGCTTGCGTCGAATTTATTATTATTGATTTAGCTTGCGTCGAACTGAACGTAAAATTGAATTATGATATGTTGCATAAATTACGGTATTATGCGGAAATATGCGTTTCCACGTACTAACTACAAAGTTACCTACATTTCATAATTCATTAGTATGAATAAAATCAATAAAATAAATAAATAAATCGTTTATTTGCCAAGTGGTACAATTAGATCGAACAACAAGAAAAATCCGCACAATCAGCCATATATAAAGGCATGCAAATGTCATATAATTTTTTTGCAATGTCATATAATAAGAACATTAACATAATGTCATTTATAATTGTTAAACTTATGGTCTAAATACTCGCTCACGCTATAAAAGCACCTTGACTTTAATAACCTAATCACCTTCCCCTTGAAAACATTATAAATAAATAAAGTCAACTCTATTAAATAATTCGCTTCAATTTTGACAACTGTCAATTATCACTTGACATATGTCAATCGTTATGGATTGTCACTTTAAATACAAAGCTTTAATCGCTTGTTTTTTTTTCATAGTCAGGGAACTTTTTTTAAAATCTTCGCGGAACTCATCAATTAATTAGACTAAATGACTAAGTAAAAAACTGCAAGTAATCCGTCCCAACGTGTGTTCTTTGGACCTTGACGAATTTCATTAAATATTCCGACGGCAGTTTGACAATGGCAAGATTAACTCACGGTCATGAACTGAAAGGAGTGTCCTAAACATTGCTAAATAAATTGTGATAAGTATCTCTCATATTATGTTTGGAGGTCATTTTGCTAAATTAATGTCAATAATTAGCTTGAACATAATAATCTATTACCAACAATATAAGTTTGATATGATAACGAAAATTGACACGATGGCCGATTTTGCGATTCCGACATTTCAAATCATCTTGAAAATTGCTGTGTAATGGTGTTTATTAAGTTACTACATATAAATAATCTTATATTTAAAATTTTAAGTACCATATTTTAAGTAGATAATACGTTATAAGTTGATTTTATGTTTTAATTAGAATTAAAATTTGGTAGCAAGTTGTCTATATTATAATAATTGTTTGGCATTATGCCGTAATGTATAACACGTGAAAATAAGGGAAGACGAGCCTATTGGGCATGGGCCAGAGAACAATTTTTTTGCTCTTTCATATTTAAGTAATCAGTCTGTTCTTTACCTCTCAAGTCAAAGCAAATAACATGTTTTTGATAAATTGGGTTTCAGGCTTTTCTTACATTTAGCATTGTGATGATTGTCCTTAAAATGTGTTAAAATCTAATATATAAAATTCTCGTGTCACAGTTTTCGTTGCCATACTCCTCCGAAACGGCTTGACCGATTTTGATGAAATTTTTTGTGCTTATCCGGTATCTATGAGAATCGGCCAACATCTAGCTTTTTCATCCCCCTAAATGTTAGGGGTAGTCCACCCCTAAATTTTATTTTTTATTTTCTAGACAAAATTTTTAATTTCAATTTTTTTATGATACAGCATTAAAAAATACATACAACCCCTAATTTTCACCCCTCTACAATCAACCCCTATATTTATTATGAATGATATACATGGCAAAACGACGTTTGCCCGGTCAGCTAGTTTAAATATAAAATTTATTGCAAAAAAAGATTTTTTTTTTAGATTGTTGCTAATATTATAAAACTTATGACTCAGTATTCAATCTTTAATTTTAATATCCGCCGACAAGGCAAAATCACTTAAATTAAAAGAATTCTAGAGATTTTTGCATGTCATTATAAATTTTTTGAACACATACAATTTAAACGTTTTTATGTAGGTTGTTTTAATTTGTAAAGGTTGCTCACATTGAACGCCTTTTATTTTTATTAAAATGATATCTTATTGTTGATTGTTACTGTCATTAACAACGCCTATCTAAAAATAAACTTGTATATATACCTTTCTCGTATTGTAACGTAATGAGTGAGGGAGAAATAATTTTACTACAATGTACTATACGTCTAAGGGTCCACTTTCACGGACGATTATAATCACGTTATTTAATTATTTTAATATCTTTCTTGTAAATTAAATAACCATGGCTTTAAAGGTCTCACAAATCCGTAGGTGTTGCGTTCGATGCCTAGCTAAATCATGTTGTCGGCATGCCTATGAACAGACTCAGAAATGTTTGCTCCATGGGTCGCTAATGGACTTAAATAAAATATGTCTATTTTTCCCTTAATGGTACTAGGTATTTCTCTTATAGTAAGCGATCTGTCACAGTACAAGAAATTAGAAAAGCTTATCAACTAATGTCAACTTCAATAGGTCTTACGTGTCATAGTGGATCATGAATCAAAAGTGGTTTCAATATTTTCTCTTAAATAAACCTTATACTATACTCCCTACACTGGTAGTACAGTTCCCGAAAGTAACTTTAGCACGTAAGGATACTGCACGCTTATATACAACTTACACGTAGGGACGGGTGAATGGGTCATTTGATAACTGTATCACGTCAATTAAATCAGTTGAGAGCAAGTGCCCAAGGGAGTGCATTGTTTCAAGTTGTAAATAATGGTGTTCACATTATTCGGATATGTGGTCTACTTTCAACCAAAGTTCCGTGTCGTTAGAATAGAAAGGTTTGTACATTACTGTGGAGGGACAGGACCCATCAGTTAGATTTTAAATAATCATTCCAGAACACAGCGCTTTGTAAGGCAATTTCTGAGACGCATTACCTCTATGTGGAACCAGCTACCAGTAGAGCTTTTTCCGATACGACTTAGGGATCTTCAAGAAAAGAGTACAATTCTCTATAACACACACACCCTAAAGCCACCCGTTACAGGTGCAGAAACCACAATCATAGTCATTAGTTTAAGTAAAAATAAGTCACTAATTATCTGGTAGCATGAGCCACAACCACAGTTCTACACAAGTCCGGATACCATCTACCTCCGCATACCTACTAGAACAACACAGGTTTTCTTTAATGGCTCATTTTATTGTTTTCTTAAGAACACGTACAATTATCGGACTACATATGTTGCGGTACCTTTTATTAATTACATCATTAAAATAAGATTAAACGACTTGATGTTTTTACTTTTTTAATTCAAATATCAATGAACCGATTTGCTTACTTACGTAAGCATGTATATGTATAGCCAGAGAGATACTAACATAAACAGTAAATTAAAAAACTACTTTTATATTCATTTGTCGAGCTCCTAAACAAGACTACAAAAATACAAACCACAGCGGTTGTCTAATGTAACTTATTATGATTGTATTATATTATTTTGTAAAATAAAGAAATTAAAAAAAATGTAGTAAAATTAATAGGAATAGGCTGACAGCCAGCCATACTGTATCACACGGCACACCTTCAATCAGCTCGCGTCTTAGTCGTCACAGTCTAGTCAGTCTACGTCCATATCCATGCCGTCTTTTTTTAATTATTATAAATCCATGGATAATATAAAAAAAATCCAATGATAAACATAACGTTTTCATTATTTAGAGTTACATATATAGACAAGTTAAAAGATTAACAAACGCGGTTTTACGCTTTAATAAGAATTGCTACTAACTATAGGATTTTAAGCGTGAACAGTGGGAATTGTTATATGATTCAATCGTGTTTTATAGATTACAATGATTATTATCTTATCGATTACGTAAAGATTCTTCAAGTGTTAACAACTGAGTGGACTTGATTTATACGGGAACTCTTTTTTATCACTGAGATAAATAATATTATCATATGATATAATCGAAACACGCAAACTTGATTTTTGAAATCGTTCCTATCTCTTTCGAATTATAGTCTCGTTTTTCTAAATGTCAAATCTAAAAAAGATGTTCTACATATACTCCCTTTAAGTTTTATAAGTAAGTAAGCCAAGTAGCCTAATTACCCGTTCAATCAACAGCCTAGCCTCTTAACTAAACTTCGCCGTTTAACTAGCGGCAGTTTGGCTGCGACTGTATATAATTTTTGAGTTCTTAATTAAAACAGTAAATCAGAGTCATCACTCTGTAACTTCTGTTCTTAGATAGCGTTAACGACAGCGATTCCGATGTCAATAATGATATTTTGTTCCGGTCGATCCCAAGGTTGCAAAATTAGCGCGCGAAGTAGTCGGGCGGGCGCTGATAGGTATTTGATTATTTCTTGACTATGATGTATAAAATGTGTTGGTTATTTATATCTTACGTATAATCGAGTATTCTTTAAGGTACAAATTCGACAAAGACAACACAAATTTGAATGTATATTTTTATAGTTCCAATAATAAATTGTTAAATAAAAGAACAATTTATGTCCTGTTTAATCATGGTTATTTATCAATTAATCTAGTATTCATAGTATTCCCATATTCATACCAGACATATTATAATACATATGATGATGTCGTTTTTCGATAAGCTTAATCAAGTTCAAGTTTCAATCGACCCAGATTTGGAAGCGATATAATATCTATTGAATAGCGGTTACGTCACTATAGATATAACACTATCTACCTACAATTTGCCGAATGACGATCCGGATTTTAGAAGTTTCATAATATTTCGATTCGATATTTGCAATATCACCGCGAAAAGCAAAAGACAAGCTATTAGTCTAACTTTTTGCATATCAAGACGTACATAATAGTAGTATTATTAGTATATAATAGTATGTAATATTATTTTATAGTAGTACATTAAAATATGTCACGTCGCAATACTACGATAACACTAGGGTCCGTAGACAAGAACCGAAGAAGCACAATTTGTATGTTGTATACAATTTGACACTTGACCATGAATCAGCTAACCAAATATAAAACAATGAACATAGTTCTTAAGGTCACATAAAAGTTAAAACATTTGCCAACATTCCAAGTATTACGTACAACCGCGGACGGATTTTTAGTGATAACTCAAATTCCATTAACGCAATCACTTCCGCATCAGGCGTCAGTTAATAGATAATGCAGCCACGATAATATTAGAGATTTTACTTACCGCTGCTGGAAAGAGGATAAAATTGTGAATATAGAAAAAAAACCGTTATATTATTCAACTACGTTCTCCGCCATATTGCCACTTGCAATAATCTTATAGAAAACAAATATTCCTTTATGTTTTTCAACCACGTTCTCCGCCGTGGTAACAAAAGAAATTGAAATCGAGAAAAGAAGTTTTTCGTATTCTGTGTTGGTATCGCTCTAAAAGTACAACTAGTGTTCTTTTAACCTGTTACGGTGAGCTAGTAAATACAGAACATTATTCCATGTTTCGTATGTCAATAAATAATAGAATGTTTTTACAGATTTGTTGTAATCTCTCGATTTCTGCTAAAATATGTTACGCACAGACGCGTCCTTCTAATAAACGACAGATTGGTTGATAAAAATGTAATCGAAATAAAAATCTATATTATACGACTAGATAAAACTTAGATAAGGATTCTCTATGAAACAAGCGGTATGATCACGCGTTTAGCAAAAATAACTCAATTTCATCGTTTTGGGCGCATGAAAATGGCGAATGGCACTCCGCCAGAATATTTTAGATAGAGCTAATTATAACCGTCTAATAAGTATTTCTTTAACTGACAAGTGTCTTCAAATATCTGAATTTTAATGAATATTTAGGGTACTATAATAAAACTTATCCATGAATAAAAATAAAATTTTAAGTTCTTCAATGGCGATAACTTTGTTCTTTCGTAGTGATAACATTTTCGTCATTAAATGATGATAACTTTTTATCGATAGTTACATCACCTCATTCTTTTCCGTCGTGCTGCGTCATCCTGACCTTTGTCCACGTGAAAACATAAAACTTTAAATATTTTCAAAGGCAAATAAGCGGTTTATAATTAAATATCTTTTTTTGAAGTTATACTTCTTTTGGCGCGTTAGGGAAAAATGATGAGAGTAAATTTTGACGATGCGATCGTCACAAAAAACCGACACCCTGAAGTTAGCTATAGTCAACAATTTATTTTGTGATATTTAAATAAACTTTATTTAACGAGATAATGCGTTATAATAAAACTTTCAATATATTAAATACATTTTTTCTATTGTTAGTGTTATTTTTTCTACAAACGTAGAATACAATTTTTGCAAAAATCTTTTTATCTTGTTTAACTTCTAACGCGTGTACATAAGTTTTATTAATAACACACGCGTTTTTATCTTAATTTATTCTTAAAATCTTCTTTGCGTCCCTTTTACTGTCCTATATAGTATGCTACAATCATATGTATGGCCATATTAATACCCACAGCGAGGTGGTTTCAGTATCAGAAGGCACCGCCCATAAGGCTCGGTCCTCGGTCCTCTCCACTTTTTGACTTACGTAAACCAAATGCATAACCAAGTAGAACACTCCACTTGTTACCAGTTCGCAGATGATACGTGTTTATTAATTGGAGATAGGGACCCTCATAAAGCTATTGAAAGGTTACAATCAGATTTTAACAATATACTAAAGTGGTGCCATGATGCTAAACTAGTACTTAAAATTGAAAAGACAAAACTACTTATCATACAATCCAATTCCATAAAAGAAGCCACTGGTATAGCATTGGTGGCTCACGATCACGCATGTCTCCACAAATCAACAGTGTGCAAGTGCCCTTCTATACAAATAGTTGATAAACAAAAATATCTCGGATTAATTATAGACAAAATATGCATTGGAATCAACACATAGAATACGTCTGCGATAAGCTTCGACAGTTTTTGGCACAAATAACAATACTCAAAAAGCGTATCCCATTTAAAACCAAACTTTCACTTTACAACGCGCTTTGCGAGTCAGTCATCAATTACGGTCTAAGTAGCTACGGTAGAACTTATCCAACGTATCTCAGCCGAATACATAACCTCCAAATGCGAATCCTCAAACACGTTGTCTCGAGAAATGTGCTCGACTCATATAAAGAAGAAGAAAGAGGAGTATTCAAACACTGTAAAATATTGCCCATATCAGAAAAAGTTAATAAATGTCTTCTAGTCGAGCACTTTTTTCCAGATGACTTAAAAAATCGAGTGGAGCATGATGAACAGACCCGAGCGGTAACGCAAGTTCGGCTCTGTACATCGAGAGCAAACAACGTGTACGGCGAGAGAACATTGAGGTATTTGCTAGCGCGGCTAATAAATGGTCTACCAAATCACATATTAGATTGCCTAACGCCAACCAATAGAACAGCAAATTAAAAAACTACTTTTATATGCATTTGTCGCGCTCCTAAACAATAAAAATAAAATAAAAAAAAAAAATTTTTTTATTATGGAACATAAGATACATGTATCACTTATTCCACGTCATTAAATTTGAAGGCATCCCTACCGGCAAAGAAGACAGGGGGCCCCGCACCGGCAAAAAAGACAGAGGGTTGCCGAGAGAGGCGTAAAAATCGCTCTTTTAAAAAGCAAATCAGTATATAATACTGTTATGATTACATCAATATAAACCACAGCGGTTTGCTAATGTAACTTATTATGATTGTATTATATTTTTATGTAAAATAAAGAAATTAAAAAAAAAATTAATTATGTTCAATCAATTTGCAGTGATGGAGCCCACGAGGCTATGCTGTCTCAAAACCAGACGCCAAAGGCCGTCAAAAGTAAAGAGGCTAAGAGTTCTGAGGAATATGAAGCGCTGCAGAGTTTCCTTCGCAGCATCAGCTCGACAGCTACACTGCCGCCCTATGTAAAGGGCGAGACGTACTCCTCTGTACGAGGAGTTTTTAACCAGGTAATATAATGCTACAAACTTGTCTGTGTTATCTTAAGATTTGCTTAAACGATCGCCTTTCTTTTATAGTAATATATGTATTAAGTGAGCCCAGCAGGGCTACCCTGTATAACGATGGCGATTTCAAATTATTGATTGAATTGGAAGAATTTCACACAGAAACAACATGATTCCAAAATATTATATACGTTGGAGCAATAACGTTACTATAAGCTGCAAGTTAAAACACGTTTTTTTTGCTTTTATTAAATTATAATGATTATGGCGGCTGACACTAACACCATTGCTTCAACATTAATACTAAAGACTATGTAATTACTGTAGATCAAATAATTTGTACATCTATTAATATTGGCAAATAAAATAAACCATATAACGGTTTTAAAATAATTTGACTTTGAGGTTATTAAATTCAAATGACAATGGCAGCTGATAATAGCGCCATTCATTGCTATATACATGCTATATACATATATGTAATTCAATGATGAAATCGCTATTGAAGTTAAGGCCTGCAGGGCCTTAAAGACAGTATTAGTAAATTAAATCTGAAATTAGATAAATCATAAAAATATCGTTAGTGATTATTTTTGTTATGTTAACATTATGAGTTACAAGTAAAAACGTACACTTACACACCCTCTCACATTCCCAATCACAACCTCACACATTCCCACACACACCTCAACCAATATTTTTTTTAGTAAATTATCTTGGTTAGTTTTTTATTATGTTTTAGTAGTAATTCTTCGTATACGTTATATGGTGTTATCCGTTTTGGCTATGTATTAATTTAAAAATTAGATTGTGTGCTGTGAATTGTCAATAAACTGTTAAATAAAAAATAAAATATTGTCTTGATTCTTAGATTTAATATTATATTCTTGAACGGAGTGTTTGTTTCCGTGTAAATGATATAAATAACATAATAACCAAGTAATTAGTTTGCCTCTCGAACGCAAACTAAAAACGGAACGCGGAATTTAAAGATTATTTTGATAAATATGTACAACTAATTAACCACTACAAGCTTCTTGTAAAACGAAGCCATTCAACTAACAAGGCAGGGTCATTCTTGGAATTCTGGAAACTTCGTATGACGTAGAGCGGAGAAAGCCGCCATTGATAAATTAATACAAATATTTGTTAGACATGACCCAATAATGACCCATTACCTTGATTAATATGGGATAATACTTCATAGGTTTGGTCAGTCAACGCTCAACGTATTTAGCTGTTTATTCGGTTTTCATTAATTTACTATGACGTGGTCTCCTAATAGTACCTACAGGATCCCACCGCTCGCTATCTGTATTTTTGGTGAAAATAATATTAAATTAATGTTGTATGCAATGCATTAGCGATAGGTTGCATAAAAATGCGTAAAATTAGCCGCAATTACCTGTTATTTTTTTTTGTATAATTAATTTTTAAAGCAAATTATGTAGGGAGTTGAAAAAGAATGGTTTCCAGCTCTCAGTTAACTGGTTTATTTTTGTTAATTATTTACAGACAAATTGTTTTTTTTAAATGTAATACTATTTATGATAATCCACGGTTGCCAGTCAAAAAGTCTGGCCGCAAGCAGGGGTTGCATTGGTTCGTTGTGATTACTTTCACAACTTTCATGTAGACTAATAGAGACTAACCATTTTACAGCCATTACTATGTATCATTGTTGATTGTAAAGTAACTAATTAATATTTTAAGTACTTGAAGATCGTCCCTTGGTAAAATTGTATTTTCTTAAGGATAAAACTGTGTAGGTACTGGCCTTGTGCGCTATTTATTTTCGATATTATTTAACGTCAAAAAATAGTTACTAAGTAAAGGAATTGTTTTTATGAGGCAAGCGTTAATAAAGAGGCAATTAGAATCTATTACTATGAGCACCATAATTTGGGTTAACTACATACTAAAATTTTACCATACGTTCATACCGTACGTACAGAACAATACCTGAATACATAAAGCTATAGCTAGTGTATCTAAGTAGATTTAGATTGAATATTTACGAAACAAAATTAACGGTTAATATTTAAAAATTTGCTCCATGAACAATAGTGGTATTGAAATAAAACTTCTAATATAATAATTTATTTTGTTAATGAATTACAATAATTAAATTTGTTCGAAGTTCGCCGATGATAACTTTGATTAATTATCAATATTATCATCAGCGAATTTCGAGTGATATGCGTAATATCAAGTGATTCCGACGTAAATCAATAATCTTATCAAGACGTGTCTCGGAAAAGGTTTCTAGTTTTTGCTATAGATAAGGTAATTATAAATTACCTTACCTTATTATATTAAGTATAAGTAACATCGCTAACATTTGATTTTAGATCAGATTTTCAACTAGAAACAATCTAACGTTACGTTATGGCCCTGCGCAAAAAGAAGCATGTACCCGGCCTCCCCCAGCTCTATAAAACAGGATGAATTGGCCGATGTGAAAGGCCCTTGCTGTGCCAAGGTCCATTCCACATCATTCGTGGCCGTAGAGGACCGTAATATTAACGGTTGATCGCGTGGCTGGATGCGGACAAGGCTACGCTGTTACCGTGTCCTGCCCCGGGCGATTGCTGGTGGCGCCGTGGGGTTTTAGTGGGTATGCACAACAGCGAGTCCCACATCACCCTTCCCCAGGTCAACCATGCCGCGGGAGGGTATGCGTAACGCATTTCCCCACGGGAAAAAAAAAAAAATGGCCCTGCGCAACGTTTAAAACAGGTTAGGAGAGGTTGTTAAAAGCGCGACATAACAACTTTGTGTCTATAAATCCTAGGTGCATATTTAAGGTAACTGTTAATAAGTATAAATTAAAATCTGCCCACAAAACGCTAAGGGAGCAGATGTGGACGACTAAAAATAACGCCAATGTGGATTTACACAGCAAAAGTAGGTCGCGAGTGGAACCCGGAAGCCTTTGTCAAAGCACAGGCTGATAGATAACAAATTTTTTTCCATAGATTACAAGTATATAATACCTGTTAATACTATATATTAGCCATATAAGGGCTTTTTATTTAAGCTGCTGCTAAGACTGGCCTCTTGTGTGCATTCGTTTTGTTGTAATGTTTTCGTTTTTTTTTTATATTTTTATTGTATTTTCTTAACTCTTTAGTTTATAATGAATTTAAAGAAATTTGTACTGTGGTGTAGCGCTTTAGACATCATAGTTAAAATCCCTTAGTCTTTTTTGGTTTTCTGTACTTTTAGTTTATTTTTTATGTTTAGGTTTAACAATAAAAAACATTAAAAAAAATCTGTTTTGTTTCAGTGCCTTATAACATGTGCAGTACTAATATTGGCCGCGGGTGCAGGACATCCCATCGGCTTCTCCGCTGTTGCATTACCTCAGCTACGTAATGAGAATTCTACACTCAGGATAGATGATGACATGGGATCGTGGATTGGTAAGTTTTGTTCAAAAGCCATCTACCTGATCTATTTCCATAAAATTTCCTTAAACAAAAAAATTTTGAGATAGAAGAATGAGAGAAGTAGAAATTAGATAGTAGGGTGGAAAGAACTGGTACTGGTACTGCGAGTGCCTTAATACTACCAGGACAACATGGGAAATAAAAATTTCAGTATATTTAATAACTGAAGAATTTCTATCAAAATTGAAATAGTTACTCGACGTATTAAATGACAAAAACATTATTAAAATAAAATATATATCTATTATACGGTTCTATTTTGATTGTAATTATGAGTATTAATTAAACTTCTTAAAGGAAATATTAATTATATTTTAATATCTGAGATTATATATTATGAGCTATTGTATTTTTTGCATATTATATAAAAAATATTCTAGTGTAATCGTTAATTAAGAGTATTATTGTTGACGTAGCAGTCTCTGGACAAAAAAATACGGAAACGCAAAAGAAATACGAACGATTGATTGCACAACGATTATGTTTTAAAGGAATGTGTTCAGGAGGTTTTAGAAATATAAAATTATTCAAAAAATATTATGAAAATAATTTAAAAAATTAGACTTGAACCAACAAATGCGGTGAATGATGATACTGAATTCTATATATATATATATATATATATATCAATCCGTCAATTGTTGATCATGCGTGCTATATCGCGAGCACTTTGTTGATCCGAAAACCTATGTTGATCCGGGTGGTATTTGTTGATCCAATATAATGTTTTTCATACAAATGTGGTTCCGACCGGATCAACGATTTACTCCGTTGAAGTTTAGGAAACGCAACCGAAATGTTGATCCAATATACAAATCCACTCCGATAGTTGTTGATCCGATTCAAATGGGCCAATCAGAAGTCAGCAAGTCCTCCTACTGGACATACCTAAGGTATATGGATGGTTTAATTCCTATTATTTATTGCAAGACCAACTAATCAGTAACTTTTCTTTATTTATTCAGTTTTTATGTTTATAGGTATGATATATATATATGGTAAGGAAATTTGTTGACGACACGCGCTTGTCGCTTACCCGATGTTAAGCTTCGTGGCCAGCTGCATGCATGCCAGCAGCTCAATGTCATACAGAGTATGTGATAGTGTATTGCACTCAGTAACCCTGAGATATAAGATCTAGAGTCTCGAAGCCCTGTTATTACTCCGCAAATAATGCTCTTCATCCCGGGACACCGTAGCGTTGTTTAGCTACCGCTTGGCCGTTGATTAACTGACAAAGGTCTGGCCTTTCCTCAGACTGGCCTTCGCAAGAGTCCTACCAATACTAGATATAGTCTTATATAAGGACAATTTCTAACTGTTATTATAATGTTTAAGTGGCATGATTACATATATTAATTAAAGTGATAATTTATAAAGGCAAAAAATGATCTTATCGCATCATATCAAAGTTGAGTTTGGATGACATTTAGAAAAAACATTTGTTATCAATCATATTTTTTTTATTATATAACATCTTTAATACGTTAGACATTACTAACATTTACAAAATAATTTTGAAAATAAAACAACATAAGTAACATTTCGTTTATAGGTACTTAATCGACAATTCTAACATTTATAACAAACATTATAATTAGCCAGATAATAAGAAAAAATATGTTCTCAATATTTTTATGAATAATATAACTTAAAAAACATCTTCAAAATATTTATAATCAGTCAGTCAAAGATTATAATTATTAACAAGTAGAAAAAAATCACATACCAAATATTCTTACTACCCATTCAGTAGTATATAGTCAGGTACTATCACTAAACCACTAACATTAAGGAGACATTACATGTGCCCTTGTTATGAGATCTATTATTATACATAATATATTAATTATATATTATAATAATTACTATTAATATTATGAGGAACTTGTTGTATCACACAGAATCTTCATTAAAATATATTTACTTTTTTTATAAATATTGTTAACATACGTGTTAAGTTGCATCCAAGTCCTATTTTGAAGAATAGGTTCTTTATTTAAAACTTCCATACATTTGTTTTTGCCTGGATTTATCTTTTTATTTATGTATGATTGGAAATATTTTTTGACTAATTGTATCTCTTCATCCGACCACTTTCTATGACTGTTTTTTTTTCGTTTCTGAATTGGATTATCACTATCACTATCGCTTAAACTTGGGCATTTTATTTTTGTCTTTCTGTTATTTGGTTTAATATTGATATTTTTATTTTTAGAATCTTTATGATATATATTATTTTCTTTGGCACGTCTAGTTTTACTTCGTTTCTGAATCTGTTTATCATCATCAACATCGCTTTCACTTGTACTACTTGACCATTTTCTTTTCGTGTTGCTTCTGTTTGGCTTAATTTTGGGGTCTTTATTTGTAGGATCTTGGTTGTAATGATTGTCTTGTTTTTTATCGTTTACTTCATTATAGTCTCCAATTTCTATATCGTCCATGTTCTTATTGACTGTAGTTTTTGGTGTTTCGATAGATATTTTGGGGTTTGTAAGTAAGATGTTAGATTGGTCGCTTTCTATTGTATTGTGTAAAAGTACACTGTTTTTTTATCATATCTAAACACTTACCGCCCTCAAAAGGTTCTTGTGTACCAGGTCTTGGAAATAAATATTGGTTGGAGCTTGGAATTTTTAAATCTTCACGGCAAGCTATTATTAAATCTATGTTTTCTCGCATTATTTTTGTTAGCAAAATAGGCACACCCCTTGTTCTTTTACCGGGAATCTGAAATACGTCTAATTCTTTAATACACTTCCTCTGCTCTACTATTAAACTTTCCAAAACCTTTTCCGGCACTTGTTCATTCTTTCTATTGATGTAAAACGTAAGTTCGCATATAAAACGGATGCACATTTGACTCGTCGGTATAATATTTGCGACCGTTACGGATCTACAAAAACATTATGTTAATGTTTTTTGATGGCAAGTATGTTGCAAAGCGACCGATGCAGGTCCCCAAACAAGCCTTCCATTTCTAATTCGGATCAAAGTATATCAGTTATATTTGTAAAGAGCCAATTATACACTGCAACAAGGTGGATCAACATTTCTTTTAATATCTTACTAGATCAACGTTTACATAGAACGGTTGTATATATATATTAGCCATATAAGGGCTTTAAACTTAAATTAACTTAAAGAAACACATGGATTTGTATACCTCCGAGTTTTTTTAGGCCTTTAAAGATGTCCCGTCCCTTACATATTTTCTTTGTCATACTATTATAATTGTCATATTATGATATGTTATAATATTATACTCTCTATTCGAAGTAATGTTTTCGTTTCGTTGTTTGTTATGGTTGTATTTTTTTTTAAATGAATTGGTTGTATTGGTCTGTTATCTAAAGCTGGTGGCACACAAAACACACATTTACACTTTGTGCTTGTGTAGTGTCTGTGAATAAGCGGGAGGCGTGACGTCACACTGAATATGCATCATGAAAAGACTGTCCGTCTCTCTCGCGCTCGGACAAGCTTATGAGTATAAAAGAGACAGTTATTGTTTTGCTTTTGCTACTGATTATAAATACATGTTGATCTTTTTTTCTCATTATTATTTTGTCTGTGATTGTTTACTTATTTGGTTGGAGGTTAGAATACTTAGAAAATAAATGTCTTATGAAATAATTGGTTCCGGCAAAACATTAACAGGACAATCTCGTGAAATAGTGCCGCAGTAAACGACTATTTTGACAACCTTTTTGAGGGAATAAACAAGTTGCAGTTCAATTTGAAGGAAGTGTGTTGAGCTAGATGGAGCTTATGTCGAAAAATTAAAAATTATTTACACGAATTACTCTTTCACGTTCTTGGTCGGGCTTAGAACTTTTGGATCCACCCTCGTATGCACTTATTATATGTATTTGACACATTTTTATTTATTTACAACCCACCCAACCTTACTAAAACCAGAGTAGACTAAAATATATAGCTTGGCAAAAAGTCATTTTTTAAACATATATAGTGAAATTGCATTAGTGTGAGTTCTGTGAACGCGCCAGCTTTCGATAACCGACCTATAAAGCCCTTTAGGCACCAAGGCTGAAACTTTGGTACAGGGCTCGGTACTATTACAGTTCGAATAGTATTCTTGTATGGATTTTTTTAAATACTTGGCAAAAGCTCGTTTGAAAGACTTTCCACCGAATCTTTTCCGACCATGTTAAATGTTACTCAATAGTAGTTTATTATAGCTAGCGAGTCCGTCACATAAAATCAAGGTAAAATATATGCAAAATTTAATCATTCTTTGTTGTATATAGGAATGTTGGACAAAGTCAAAATAACTTTATAATTCTAAATTTACATTTACTACCAGTTCGCAAGTCAAGGGCGTAGAGCGGGCAAGAACTTAGTTAATGCTCAACTCGAACAAATTTTAATGATTCTCTTTACCAGGTAACAAATTTTCACTGAACTATTTTGAAAGATAATACGTTACTAAATACTATAAACTAACAAACCAGTCAGGTAATTAAGAACGTATGTGACAAAACTCGAATTTCAATCAAGTCTTTATGAACTAAAACAAATGCGGAAAGCCATTAGATCTGTCAAATGACTTCCTATGCGCAATTACCTTTACAAGAAGATTTAATTAAATCAGTAGGTAATCTTAAGGTTTATTATCTTAATTAAAAAATATCTAGTTAAATCGAAAGAACTATAATAAAGTATATGTGGTTCAGAATGATAAATTGTTTTTAATCTGTGCATGCTGTTTTTAAGAGTATATCCTTTAATTTTTTTTTATAAAATTATCGTAAAGCTATTTACTTCCATGTCCGGTAGTGTAAAAAATATCACCTGAAGCTTTTAAATGCTTTTATTACGTGTGATCCAATGATGAATCGTATTTTCACGAAATAGCATTACCGTTTAGGAATGTTCATAATAATTGTAATGCTCTACAACTCTACAGATTATATAACTGGATTTCCAAGCCACATACGGCAAATGGAAATTTTTCCTGTTCGTGTAAATTGATTCGTCTACTGTGCCGAACTAAAAATAAATACAATTCTATAATTACGGGATATCTAGACTAAAAACTTAATTTTGTCTCTGAAAAAAAATCTTAAATAATAAAGTTGATAACAGTTAATTTGTCTTACCTATGTTTTAAACGCGGTGTTAGAAATTAATTTATCTAGCTTAAAAATAGGTATTCCGCTTTAAATGCTTAAAGACAGAGTTTTTTACGCCGGCTTTTTCTCTCGGCCTACACCCTCTATCTTCTTTGCCGATGAGTAGGGATGCCTACAAATTCAAATTTAATGATGTGGAATAAGTGATACCTGTATCTTTAGTTCCATAATAATTAATAAACATATTTTATTTTTAAACTAAACTATTAAGACGAGTAGTTTTCCTCATAACAGTTACCACATACTAAACCTTGCATTTAATAACAGTGAATGCGTTAACCAAATAAACAAACCTTATGGTCATATCTCTCCTAAGTGGGGCAAAGTATTCAAAAACTGTATCCAATCTTTTCTTTTCGCTCCAGAGCCCTTATTCTGTAACTAAACCGTGTTTTTTGATATTATGGTCGGCTACTATGGCTGTTTCGACCGACCACGTACAACAAAATATACTTATATATATTAGTGTATGGGTCCTATTTTTTATATATATATAATTTTTGGGTATGATATATAAGTGGAACATACGCATTTACGCGAATTTATAACAGAAATAAAACTATTGCTAAATCATTTCAATTGCGGTTAATTAAATGAATTTAACTTTTCTAATATTATTATTTAATTTAACGCGAGTTATTTATAAATAAAACATTGTTCTTAATAAGCTTACATATAATGATTAGTAACATAAGCATGAAAACATGTATATTAATTAAGCAATTCTATTAAATATTCAGTGTAAGAATCTTACTTCTACGAATTTAATTATATTTAACCATAAATACTTAAAAAAACGCTGGCAAAGAAAAGAGTATCGGAACTGTTAACAGAAATAATGTTTTGTTTTAGCAGCGATCGCGTAAAGGCTTGTACTCAAAACATCTATTAACACATTAACAAAGAAATATTAAAGTAATTATTACAGAAAAAAAATTTAGAGCGCAGTGTTAATTTGGCCTCACTCAGTACGTTCGGGCAAATCTCGTGACAGCAGTGATTTTCAGTGATACCATTATACTCGTATATGGATAAGAACATACGAATATATACATATATAGATAATTAAAATAGGTACGAAATATACTAAATATGTTGATAAATAAAGTCGCATTCGTTATTATAATATCTGCATGGCCGTATTTAGAAGTCTAGAGGCCTCGGGGCAACAAAGGAGTTGAGGCCCCTGCCCCAAATATTTCCATATAAAATTATCAATTGTTTTCAGTCAATGATTTTCAATCAATAATTTATTGTGAAACCAAGTAGATTATTTTATTTAACAAACATTTATAATATATCAAAAGAAAAGTAGTTTACTAATCGGAATTTAAAACATTATTTTTGCCGAAGGTTGTGGTTGTTTTAAGTCCGGCCCTGGTTATATCTGCGTGGTTCAAATATGAACAGGAATTATGTCTTACTCAATACTGTAAGCACTTAGCAACAACGGACATGACCTGTTCATGCAAATTGCGCCTTAGGGCTGAAAAGTCAAGGCAATCACGTTCAAACACCAAAGCAAGTAGATTGCAAAACTGAGCTAATGTTAATATCGAAATATAGTTAATATGCGGAAATACAAGGAAAATTATGAAGTGCAATTAATTATATTTTATATATATAATTAATTATTTTTTCTATATAATTTTGTTACGTAAATACAAATCAATGATGGCTTTAAAATAAATTATCTAAATATAATATTTATTAGATTTTATTTTCATAAATTCCCAGTATGCGCTATAAAATTAGACCGTGTTGCCTAGTGGTTTCAGCGTGCGACTTTCATCCATGAGGTCGTAGACTCCACCAATGGACTTGCTGACTAGCGCATTAAATACTCGCTCGTACGGAAAGGAAACTGGCATGCCTTAGACTAAAACATACGTCATGTTAGGCACAGAGGCTGATCACCTTGCCTATTGCAAAAAATCAGATACAGAAATATGTGGTCCAGACCAAAAAGGTTGTGACGCTGCTGGTTTATAAAAAAATAAAAACTTTTGAAAGTGAACAGGAGATTGGTTACTTTATAGATACATATTATCTTAAACTCAAATCAAATTTTAATGTATTTTAGGTATATATTAACAAATTCAATACTTAAAAAAAGCACTTACAAAGTACTTACTAAAAAACGACGTTTGTTTTTTAGATGACGAGTTGATAAATTTTTTACAATTTTTTTACATAATTTTAAATTTAACCGACGTTTCGCGTGCTTTACAGCGTGCGTGGTCACGGTGAGTGGTGACTGCAGACAAAAGGTGCTGAATGTCAAAAAGTATCACAGCTGTAGAAAAAGTTGGATTATCTGTATTTATTTCCCCGGAGTTGGTATCGACTAAAAGATGGAGGGTTTTGGCAGAAATGTCCACGGTGTCCTCTATTTTCGCGGATTGTTTATCATGAGATTTTAATTTTTCATATTATTGGATCCCAGGTGTTTGACAATTTTAGGCCGTCTTCTCTATTGAAATTGGGGTGTTTTTTTTATTTAAATGGCTTCGCGTACCAATCTTGGGAAGAATCTTTTTTCTTTCGCCAGTACTTTCGTTTGGTCAAAGCGTATATAATGATTAGGCCTATCTAGTGTGTGTTCACAGACTGCTGATTTTGTGTGTCGTCTATGTCTTATGTCCGCAATATGTTCTTTGAGTCTGCTGAACATATTGCCCTATGCATTTTTGCCCCATTGCATCTTGCAATGATAACTTGCAATCCGTTGAAAAAATGGTTTTTCAACTAGATTACGATCAAATATGTTTTCATAAAATATAGCTCTATAGTTTTATATAGCTGTATTATATAGATATAATTAGACACAAAATTATAGTAATGCTATTGTTTATTATCACAAAATATCATTCGTTTCACGTAATGACTACGGGTTTTTTCAGCGCCAATTAAAACAGACACATCACGGTACATAATTTGTATGATAATTATCCTCATTAAATCCTCAGTGGAGACGTTTGCATAATACTTAAATTACTTTGATTTGCAGTGATTATGCAATTCACAACTATTAATGTTTGTGATACCTTAATAGGTTGAGAAATACACGAACAGATTTCGATATATATGTGCTCTTCGCTCGTACGGTGAAGGAAAACGAGAAGAAACCGGCATGAACTGTCGCTTACTTTAGGCATGTATGTGACATCCGAAGTAAGGAGTAAATTAATGAAACAGACGGATAGCTTTAATTGTGATTTTGGCTTCAATAATTGCTTCGTCTTATGTGCCTACAACTAATTGATTACGTGATCACATAAACATTTAATTTTTTATTTATATAGAGTTCACACGTACCATCGCTCATATTTTTATTGTATTACAGTTAATCTAAACCACTGCTCTTACTTCGTTCTCTGATTAATAAATTATTATATGGAACGGTGCAACAACGAGCAGTTCTTTTGAGATGATGTAATGAAATGTGGTGTGTGGAAAAAATAACGTGAAGGATCTTAAGCACTTCTGTTTGTTATTTTAAACATAACTCTTATAAGATATCAATGTTTTTAACGTGAACACTTAAAACGTATTAAAAAAGTACAGTTACATACACACTTACAAAGTACTGAAAGTTAAACAATTATGACGGGTTTTGTCCAGTCAAAACAATTGATAGTTTATCCTAATATAAGTATTTTATTTTTAAATAAAACTTCTTTAATATGTTATCAACAGTTTCGCTTACTGCAATTGCTGAAAAGCAGAAACGTCAAGTTATATAAATAATAAAATAAATTCGCGTACATCCGTTAACGAGGTGTTGTTTAAATAATATTTAGTAACCAAGTATCGAGTTCACGTGACGATCAAATATGTAAAATGTGTAAAAACTGACGTCATTAAAATGTTATTGAAGTAAGCTTTTATTGAAAAGGTTTTTTTTGACAAACTTAACGATATATATTATTAAAAAATCTTGATTGTCATACAGGCATGTACATAATTTTTATTTTATGCGAGATATATTGTCGTTTTCTAGTTAATTGTTAATTACGCATGGTTTTAGAGTTTCGTAGATATTGTATTAATAATATGTAAAATGCTAGTTTAATAAATTAAGAATGTCAATTGTCCGTAATTAATGAAGTTTTTTGTACATATATTTAAGAACTCGCATACATCCTGTGAGTTTATTTAAAATAATTAAATAAAAAATTTTTTAACTAGATTTCCATAATTTCTATAGTATTTTTTTTTCTTTGCAGCCAGTATTCATTCTGCAGCAACACCGCTAGGCTCAATGTTGTCCGGACCAATAATGGAGGCCATAGGTAGACGACGGACTTTGCAAACTTCCACTTTACCACTAGTTATTGGATGGATTCTCATAGGGACAGCATCTCATCACGCACTTTTGCTGTTGGGACGAGTCGTTTGTGGATTTGCTGTTGGTATTATGGCAGCACCTTCACAAGTAAGTAACTTTTAAGCAATAAAAATACAGGTAACGATTTAGAAATCCGTCGCCCGAATTTGATGAAGACCTTGATTGAAACCCCGAGACACCTACATAATCAGTATCATCAAATTCGAGCGACGTAATTCTAAATCCAACCCAAAATACAAACTTTATTCTATTTTCAAGGTCAAGTCTCTGAATGGAAACTCCATATAAATTCGTTAAATAAGATAATAAATTAAACTCAACAGTTTTGTTTAAAACCGTGAGCCACGATAGACTTCTGATTTTCTATCTCCATTAGTTTTACTGATGCAAATAAAACTTCGCAGGTATACCTAGGAGAAATATCAGAGCCAAGACTGAGAGGCTTGCTAATAGGAACTCCATTTGTGGCGTATTCCCTAGGAGTGCTCTATGTGTATGCCCTCGGGGGTGCCCTTGAATGGAGACAAGTGGCCTATCTCTCAATATTACTGCCTGTTTTAGCCTTCGTGGCTTTATGCTTCTCACCAGAAAGTCCAACTTGGTTGGCACGACGAGGGCGCTTCCATGAGGCAATGGCAGCAATGTCAAGGCTAAGAGGAGACTCAGATACGGTGAGTGCAACAATATATATATATACCATGCATAATTATGTACCAGTCTACAAAATGTTAATCCCAAAATAAAGATTGGAAGACCTGTCGATTGTCGGTCGTATGAATAACAAATTAATTTTAAATTTGTCTTGTCATCTGCTTTGATAACAGGCGCTTTTGTCAGAGATGTGTTTATTTAACAAGATAAATTTATATAATAACTAGCTGGCCCGCTAACGTTGTTTTGCCATGTAAATTATGTGTAGGAAAATTTTTTTTAGTTTAATAAAAATAACTATATACTATAATAAAAAATAGGGGTTGATCTTAGAGAGATGAAAATTAGGGGTTGTATGTATTTTTGTATGTTGTATCATAAAAATATAAAAACAAAAAAAAAAATTTTATAACATAAAAAGAAAGTTTTTTTTTGGAGTGGACACTTCTTCCCCTATCAATTAGGGATTTGAGCGGCCGATTCTCAGACTTACTGAATAAGCATAAAAATTTTCATTAGAATCTGTCGAGCCGTTTCGGAGGAGTATGGGAACGAACATTGTGACACGAGAATTTTATATATTAGATATGTATATTCATTTATAATACTCTTATTTCGATAGATCTTATTATTTACATAAATGAATATTTGACTCGGTTTAGGTAAGTTTTTTTCAACGGACTGTGCTAATGTGATAAGAGTAAGTTAAAACGTTTCAATTAGATTATGTTTTTAAGTACAACGTGCAGCATAGAGCCGACCTAAAAATGTAACCTAAAGACTTCACTTATGACTTATTTCCCAATAATAAAATACATTTGTGCGTTGCGAACGTGATAATTATTTTTATAGTAACATCTATCGTGAATTCTGAAGATTTAATATTAGGATGCTGAATAATTAAAACGCATTTATCGACTTACATAACGCAATTACATTTATTGCCTAACTTCCTGTTCCCTAATGTAATGAAATATGATATTCGAACAAGACACATTTTAATTGGTTTGTTTTTATGAGTCCACACAACTCGAACAATCGTCTCTAATAAGCTCAACAAGAAGCTACCAATTGAATTGATGTTTCTCGAATGTTACAACTCTGTACTTAATACATATTGTGTATACACGAGTAGTTTTACGAAGTCATGAACGTGACACATAATTTTCCGTAAATGGACATCAATCTTCATAATCTATGGCGAGCTCAATTACGGTGAACAGAGAAATCATTTAGAAAAACAATGGTCATAATATGAGAACATTCTCACAATAGTACTATGCTTGTTTAGTAATGGTCTAGGAATGTTCCATTCTTGATATATAACAAAGAGGAAAGGCAAATTATTTGGAAGAGCAAAACTTTGTTAGTAAAATTTTTTTATATCTATGATTTAAACGCATTACACTTTTCTTCTCAATTCCAAGTCGTGGTTCATGTTGCACACTCCCTCGAGAGGAGAGCGCTTTGGCCCGTTCGGGGCGTATGCCCCCTTCGGGTGGTATTATGGTTTCGCACCCTGCTGATACAGGGTGGTACGGGGCCGGCCCTATAGCTCTTGGTGGTAGCCTCAGCGCGCGAGGAGACGTAGGCTCTACTCGCAGCGCGCAGCCGATGCGAGTGGGGTCATGTCCGGGGTATCAGTTCGGTGTTGAGGGGCCAAGGAGTAGTCTCAATTTGGCCCTGGTGTCGTTGTCGGTGGTATCGGGCAGCTACGCGGCTCGTGGTCAAGCTCCGCCGGGTGAGACCCCCGGTGGCCCCGGGGGAGGCTTCTTCTTCTTATAGTGCCATCTCCTTGCGAAGGTTGGCGATCATCATGGCTATTTTAATTTTGGATGCCGCGCTTCTAAACAATGACTTGGTGCTTTGACCAAACCATTGTCTCAAGTTTTTCAACCAGGACGTGCGTCTGTGGCCAGGTCTCCTTCTACCTGCCAATTTGCCTTGTATGATTAGTTGAAGGAGCTCATATTTTTTGGAGTTGCGTAAAACGTGTTCGAAATACTCAAGTTTCCTTTTCTTAACCGTCATAAGTACTTCTTTGTTCTTCTGCATTCTGTCCAGCACGGTTGTATTTCGTATGCGGTCTGTCCAAGATATTTTAAGCGTTTGAGATCTGGGTTTATCGACGTATAAACCCAGATCTCAAACGCTTCTACTTTTTTGGACATAGTCTCTGTCAGCGTCCAAGATTCTACGCCGTAGAGAAGACGTCATCGCGCAATGCGAGTTCTAAGCTGTAAATTTAGGCGCTTGTCACAAAGTACTTTTTTAGTTTTGAAAAGGCGTTTCGAGCTTGTTCAATTCTGCAGCGGATTTTGATGCTATGGTCACCCTTTTCATCAATCACTGTGCCTAGATATCGTATTTTCGAGACACGTTCCAAGGTCTGAGGGGAGGCTAAAGAACTCCAAACATATTCTTGGACATTTTTATCACCACCAATGAGCATAACTTAAAATATATAATTGACTTTTTATTATTATTGTAGGCACAAAGAGAACTTCATGAATTAATATCGGCCCGGGAAAAAGAAAAGGCTCGAGGTGAGGAGACAATACCTTTCTTCGCGACTGTACTACGTCCTCCAGTCTTGAAGCCGCTGTTGCTTATCAATGCATTCAACATGATGCAAATCCTCTCTGGCAGTTACGTGGTGATATTCTACGCGGTTGACATCGTAAAGGACTCTGGAGGATCTCTGAGTCCACATGTATGTATACTTGTTATTTTTTTTTTTATGTAATAGGAGGCAAAGGGCAGGACGCTCACCTGATGTTAAGTGATACCGCCGCTCATGAACTCACATTGCCAGAAGGCTCGCAAGTGCGTAGCCGGCCTTTTATCATATTTAAATTACAAGAAATCATTTTAACGAGGCTTTAATATTGATTATATATAATTCGTTCATGAATATATTAAAGCTTTTTGTCTGTCGAATGAAAACAACGACAAATGAAGTAAATAAAAAATAAATATTATTTTGTTTATTAAGATTATTCAATAGCATATTGGCATTTCACATGGTTTTTGACGTTACAATGTTTATAAGCAGTAAAATAGTCGACTTACATTGTAAGTACTTTATATCATATCAAGGAAAACATTTTGTAAAAAAATATATATTTAGGATCATCTTACCTTGTGATGAGAGTTGCTCAATACTCAAGAGTTCAAGACCCTGTTTTCATTTTATAGCAATAATAAAAGTGACAGATTTAATGTTTATTTATCGACATGGCCTTTAAATTTCCTAATTCAAAAAAGGTCACCTACGTACTTAATGCACATAGGGGAAAAGGAGTCATTTTTATTTAAGCTAGCGATGAGATGGCAAGACAAGATAAAATGAAGCCTTATCTTGTTATTAATAATCACTTATATGTAATGATCGGACATTAGGTAATAATAGTTAACTTTATGTTTAGATTTTAGTTTTGCTAACGAAGGCAATCAAAAACACCCTTAAATTATATTTTAATTCACAGCTGGCTGCCAACGCAAGTGCCCTAGTCAGGCTCGCAGTGACTGTTTTAGCGTGTGTGATGCTACTTAAAGTAACGAGGAGAGCACTTGTCCTAGTGTCAGGGATTGGAGCAACTGCGTGTACCCTGAGTCTAGCCTTCCTTTTATCTCAAGGACCGGGCAGCGGCGTGGTCCCTCCAGCCCTTATTCTCGGATACGTGGCATTTAACACCCTAGGTTTCTTCCTCCTACCAGGTCTTATGATCGGGGAACTGTTACCGACAAAGGTCCGTGGACTCTGCGGAGGTTACATTTTCTGTCTTTTCAATGCAGTCCTCTTCGGCTTCACAAAACTTTACCCGGTTATGAAAAACGTTATAGGCATGGCTGGAGTCTTCGGCTTGTTCGGAGCTTCGTCCGCACTAGCCACAATTGTACTCTTCCTACTTCTTCCAGAGACAAAAGGAAAATCCTTAATACAAATAGAACAGTATTACCAAAAACCAAACATTCTATGGGTTACCAGAAATAAAATGGACAATGGGCAGAGCATCTAATGTAGTATTAATATTGTTAAGTACTTAAATTCAAGGTCATCCTAGACGGGTGTATTTTAAGCATTTTTCCTACGCGGCTCTTGCGTTTTGATGTTTTACATTTCTAGAGATATTCCTTATTACGTAATTGTGAAAGAACAGAAGGCAAGATAACTTGCTAATAAGACAGAAGAAACAAGCAACTGTATGTTTCAAAAATTGTGTACTTATTTTATATGATTGTATTTTGAGATGCATTTTTATTTCGAATACATGTTTATGTAATTACATCTCGATTTTGAAAACGTTTAATATTTATATGAATTTTAGTTTAATATAGCTCTCTAGGTGATTAAGATGAAATAATACAAACCTTGAACCATACTTCATGCGTTTTGTATGTAGAATAATATGTTATTGCATAGGTTGTAATTCAACCTTCGCGAATCATAACAATTTTATAGATTGTATACAGCGCAACACACAGCTTTCGTACCCCATTTTTTTATTGGTGACGTATAATTGTGGAAAGTTTTAAAATTATGAATAGGAATTAGCTTTGTAGATAGATAATTGTTACCGTTCCAAAATCTTTAATTTTGTCATCATCTATTGTTTACTGAGAATATAAATGTGAGATTATCTGTGATTTATTTAACAATAGTCAGTTTCATAATCATAAGGATATAATATAGGACAGTTATAATTATTTTTATAATAGTGTACGTAAAATAAATCGAATACTATGTTATTATGTGTTTTATTATAGTTACTATAGATATTCCATATTTTGTGAATCCTATTGTAATAGTCAACAATACATAATACCCAAATTCATTTCATCGAGATCCATCATGACCTCTTATTGTGAGCCAATTGACCTTTAGTGAACTGCACCACTATATGATGACATCGAAGACTGGTTTTGAGGTTTTCACGTGACTTTCGCCGAAATCTGAAGTCTAAGATACACGAGGACATGCTTTCTCCATTTGTTTAACAAATAACTTTCGCATCATCATCCGATCTTCCTTCCAATCCGAACCATGTGATTGTTCGGTACTTGTACAATGTAAGAGATTATCTGACTATGAAGCAGGCTAGGTTTATGCTATTGTATGTATGATAGATATTCATTGTTATATGTAAGAGCACTAAACTCTAATAACAGGAATGTAAATAAAACTATAATTATTGTAAATAAAATTGATTTAAAAAGTTATATCGCTAATTATATTACAAACGGTCAGAAGACATTTTTATCACCTATAACTATGACCAATACACCACTAATATATAGGCAACACTATAAAAAAAATTGAAGTTCACAAGTGTCAAGACAAACATTTTTACTATCCGTTTTACTTATTTTTATAGGCAAGTGATGAGATCAGCCCAAAATATTTTTTCGGGAAAACTCTCAATTAGTCAGAGCAACTTGATCAGATGACAAACATAAACAGCACAAAAAGGTCCACTATCATATTTTTAACCTGATAGTTCAGAAACTGAATATCTAATAATAATAACTCTACGTCACTTCTATCTATAGTAACATTGGTCACCGAATTTTATATATCAAATATTATAACGGTATATTTTTTTAGAAATATAGTCATCAGTTCAGTTATATATGATTGTAGATGTTTATTTACAATGTATAATTACTATATACAATATGTAAAATAAGAATTCATTAGAAGTATTTATGATAAACACGTCAAATTTAAACTAAATTGTAGAATTCTTACATATTAAATTAATGAGCTAAGCACGAATTCATATAGAAAATATTTTTGTCTTGAATTTCAAGGTAATGTTGGAGACCATTTCTTGAGCTAGCATTTCTTGCAAAGTACAAAAAAACTATATATTTGAATATTTGAGCCAAATTACATGAGTCTTCGTGAAGGAATTGGTATAGCCTCCTTTGACTGCAACTCTGTGTAGGTGTCTGGGTAATAACTCATAGTCTGGCTAATGAAAGATAACGAAAAAGCGCGGAAAATTCAAAAAAAAATTGTATGGTATCCCTAAAAGTTTGATATATTTTGTGGATTAAACTTACTTGATACTTGATTTTATTTTATTATTTTTAATATTGATAGTAACTGTATTTCTATGAAATTAAATACTATACGTATTTTACTATTGATACTTAAAATGACTAGCATTGCATGGAAAACTAAAACTATATTATAAAACACAACAATATTCGGAATAATCAACCCCTGCGAAAGAAACATAATATTCTATCAAATAAAACAAAGTTTAGGCCTGTTAACTATTCGGAAAAAATATATAATAGAAAAAAAAATGAGTAATTTCATGAAGTATCAAGAAAATAAATCATATTAACCTAAGAAATTCAATGACGTTCTGTGTTGGCATCCAAAAGTTTTCAAATAATTCAATTATCTTCTTCAATTAGTCAGACTCTATCCATGTTGCGTTTTTCCTGATATGCAATGGTGTTCCTATGGTCTTTTAACGAGGGACCCAATTAGCGTGGCTGTCGTCACGTATAAAAACACGAGCATAACTATTCCAACACGGACTTTTATCATATCGCATACACTTGCAGATATATAGATCGAGGCAGCTTATTTGTAAAAACAGTACAGCTATCTAGTACGGTACGATATCCTTAATACTTCAATGTAAGGAAATTTTTGGGAGACGTTAGAGGAAAATAAAAATACTGGTTATCAATAATTAACATTGAGGGACAAATCTAAAAATATGTTTACTAAACAACGTTATTGTTTACTTTATAAACAATTTATAATATTTTAACTAAAGGAAACAATCACAATTAATTTAGTTTTGCTCCCCAATTTGTTTATCTTGATCTTTATTATAAACATAAAATTATAAATTAGCATTCTTTCAAAAATTTTGAACGTATTTGAAACATTATTATGAGCATTTAATATCAAACTCGTAGGATGTAGACTAGTAATCTACATTCTCACTTAATAATTAATTCAAAAATTTTTGCAAAATAGGTTTTAAACCAACTATGAAAGATTCAATTAACATGCATATCTGTTTTTGAATCATTAATCCAATTATTGGACAAATGTTAATTAGAACTTAAATAGCAATGTTTTCAATATTAAAATACAACTTGCTAAATAGCATAAAATTGGTGTGTTTATTCAAAATAGATTATCCTAGCTTCTTTAACTCAAACTTTAAAAAAGCAGCAAGGGCGGATCCAAGGCGCGATCCCTCGGGAACGAGTACGGCCACACGAAGTAACTTTCAACATTACATCATCATCATGTCTTTCATTATTATTTCATTATTAAAATACACTATATAAGGACTAACTTCAAAGTGAAGTGTGAAGTCTGTTTAATAATGAATTTAAGTTTATAATTTTTAAAAAAATATATAAATATCGTTCATCAAGACGAAACACGTGACATGCATGACACGGGTGTAATTTTAATACATATCTTGGCTAGTTTTGATTATAAAGCGTTCATTGTGGTGTTGTTCGTCGGACCGCTTTCTGCGATGCTGAACATAAATTTGTAGAAGAAGCCCAACTACTGTTTTCTGTCTGTGGTTGAACTCTGAATAGTCCTCCTGTTGGTTTAGGCTGGCTTTGGACGCTAGTAAACAGACTTGAGTTATCTGTGTTTAATGAGTTACATCCTTTGTTGCTGCGTTGAAATGTGGTATGCTATTATTACCACTCGATATAATGTTCCCATTTATTTTATTCCCTGCAGATGTTATGTTACCCTGCGAAACGATTGTCAGCGACTCACATTTGCCTGAAGGACCTCCGAAATTTAAAACATTTGTTGAATTAATATTATTTCCAATTTCAAAATTCACCGACTTCATGGGGCCAAAATTAATTGTATTTAAATTATTTCCTAAATTAAATTGTGTAGTTGGCAAACAAATATTAAATGTTATTTCTGGTTTCTTCTTCCCTGGTTTCTCAACTTTAAAGCACACGCATTTGCTGTTACGTTTGTCATTTCTTACTTGGAAAACATTGCATTCCCAGTTCTCTCCGCCATACGTTGTATTACCTGGATAGAAAGGCGATCCTGAGAATAATAAAATTATTTTCTTATTATCTATTACTATTGGAACTACTATAATATTGTATACTATTGCTTTTGAAGGTTCTTTAATGTTAAAGTACAATGAAAACTAAAATAAATACTTGTCTGTATTTAAGTGTTTTGGATGATGATTTAAGCTATAGCTGTTAAGTGAGGATAAATAAATAAATATTCCTCATATAGTAAAAATAAGCAGAACAGGAAAACTCCAACACCTCGTAGAGACTATTAAATTTAAATTGCCGCTAGGTACCTGAAGCTCCGTTGATATCAAAGGAAAGTTTGCCATAAAGAGACCTATCTTTCGCGGGCAAGGTGTTAGAAGCCATATCCAGAAATAAACATCCATTATAAAAAAAGGGTGCGTGTACTTATGTACGCGCGTAAGAAGTTATACTTCTTTGGCTTTCTTTCTTTATATAAATATTAAATAATTAATAATAAATATTTAACGATAATAATTTAATAATATTTAGTATATTATTCAATTATTAATTAGTATTAATAATAATAATTATAATAATTATTATTTATTATTTTATTATATTATTCATTCAATTTAATAACTAGGTATGTTTCATAACCTTTTAACTAAGTAACAATAGGTCTTTGTGAAAAAGCATTGCTACATTTCTTTGAAAAAAATAATTAAAACTCCATTTGTTTAAAAGGTACTACAAAGGTCATTATGGTCATTCAAAATTCTTGGCATAGCTGCTTACTTCACGCATATTCTATTTCTTTTTACTTGTAGATTGTCTTATTCCCATCTCGCTCGCGCCGGCTATAATCATACTGACAATGTTGTGTCACAGGTGCGCGCGCAACGTAAAATTTCACTCTCATCAATTTTTCATAACGCGCCTAAAGAAGTATAACTTCAAAAATATTGTATAATTTGAAACTAGACAACATATAATACAAATACACTCCACTACCTGGCGTTCTGTTGTGATCTACATAAGTTTCTTTTGGCTTCGGATCATCCTCTGAACGCAATGAGCTTTTCAAATTAAATGACACCCGATTTACTGCGTCCTCTGGTGATTTACTTGTAGTTGCATTTAACAAATCTTCGCTTTTACGTTTTTGTGTTGACCTTCGAGAATATAAAGAATCTGTGTTTGTACTAGCACAAGCCTATAACAAAGAAAAAAGAACGTTTGAATGGAATACAATATAAAGAGGTGCACTACCTCCGATAAAAAAAAGCGGATTTAGAGAGCACAATAAAGAGTTGGACGTCGCATTTTCTGATCGTGCTAGTGTGGTGCACCACTCGACTACACCTGAATCAACCTAAAAAATATTGCAGCCTCCTGAAAACAACTACAAAATTATGCAAATTACAATTTTCAAATACTATGTGATTGACCGTCTCCCGAAACGGTCAGAACTAAGTTGTTAACTGAAAGCGTATCTAAATTGAGAAGCATTTCAGTCAACCCATTATTGTAACAATAATAATATGTTGTAACTTCAAATAATAATAAAATTTTAAAAAATCTCAAAATTTCTCTGGATTTCGCGTTATTAGCACAGAGTATTTTCAGATGTTGTATCTATATGTCACCGTAAAATTGTAAAAACCGTTAGATTGTAATCTATCTCGCGAGATTGTGAACCTCAACGAACTGCTTACAATTTAACGTATTATTATTCGGTAGATTGTAATCTATCGAAGTGAAACCGTCAAATTGTGAAACGGATCGCACCTCGCGCGCTGATTGGATGAACAGAATATGCCCCGCGCCACCATATATGTTTGTTAATTCGTTTGTTGTCGAATGTAAATTGATTATTTTGATGAATGTAAATTGATGTCGTGTTGAAAGTAACTCACAGCTTTAGAATTAGTTATATGAAATTATTGGTAAGTAAAATTAATCTGTGATTGACCAAAGAAGTTTGAATGATAACTAAGTTAGTGTTGGAAATGAAATGAAAGAAAATTTCATAAATTTTTCAATTTAATTTGTTTTTGAAGAGAAAAATTACGTTTCTGATTTTTTTATTTTGATATATTTTTTTATCATGTGATGTCAGAATTATTGATTACCTCCTAAGTAATAAATACAAATTTTTGAAGTGCATTCATTTTATTTGACCGATACCCTTGTTTCATTCCGAACTCTATGGACATATAACGGTCTACTATAAAGCCGACCAATCAGGGACAACCTTCGGACAGTTGACAATTTTAAGATTGTAATTTGACGGTTTCACTTCGATAGATTACAATCTAACGGTATTAACAATTTTACGTTAACATATATAAGTATATTTATACCTTATCAAACTTAGTCAATTATTTATATAATTATTATTAATTATATAAACAATTGACTTGAAATAAAAAAATATAATTAAGTATTGCTCATGTCCAAAAAAACTTACACATTATATTTTTTAATGTATTTAATACATATTTATAGTGAAGTGAAATTATTGTAGCATTGACATATTCATAAAGGGAAAAATAAAACAATCTTATATATGACTTTATAAACTGAATTTCTAAGTTCAAATGTACTTACTGTTGTTGGTAAATATTTATTTGGATCTTCGCTAAGTCGCCTTCGTTTAGGTTCAGGTTCTTCTAAACAACCAGAATCAGGTGATTGTAGGTTTTTGAACAATTTGGTTTGTACTATGGACGAAATACGTTTTGCCAATGTCTGTAAAAATGTAAATATATAAACCATTTTAAAATTGTATGTTTACAACCATTCTATCAGACTGTTTTGCTTCTGTTTTAGAATGATGTTTGCAAAGGTTAATTTAAATAGAATTTGGAAGAAAGCTATCACACAAACAGGATTAAAATTATAAGTCTTGCTTATAATACATAAGCATGAACTTGTTGAATAGATTATTACTTTAGAGTCTGACTCAGCTAGAATATTTATGTTGTAAATAATTGTCTTTTTGATACATCCATAGTATATATATATATATATATATTATATATAAATTTATTTGTAAATAATATTTATTTGTTTCTGCTTGAATGTTTTATAATTTACTAAAATCTTATGGGGCATGCTGCTGATGTCGTAACTATTTTCATCCTGCAGAAGAGGGCTATTTGTGCAATCTATAATTTAAAATGTAGGGAATCTCTTAGAGATAAATTCAAGGAAATTAATATACTTACCTTTCCCTCGCAATATATTTATGAAAATATTATGTATGTATACAAAAATTGTGATAAGTTTACTAGAATAGAACATACGCACAATGTTAATACACGGAACAAACGCAGGCTGCAATTTCCCCGTACTAGACTATCTAAAGTTTACTAAATTCTTTTTTGGGGAAAGGGATACTCTTCTTTAATAAAATCCCAGAGGCTCTTTTATCCCTGCCTTTCAATAAATTTAAGAAATGTATTAAAGAAAAGCTGTGTAAAAAGGCTTACTATAAAGTTAACGATTATCTAGTTGATAAAAGGGCCTGGGACTAGTGCTAGACAGGCTACTTCTAATTAATTTGCGATATTTGTTTTAAAATAAGTGTTGTTTAATGATTTGCTATTTTAAAAGAGTACCGAGAGTTTTTTACGCCGGCTTTTTCTCTCGGCCTACACCCTCTGTCTTCTTTGCCGATGAGTAGGGATGCCTACAAATTCAAATTTAATGACGTGGAATAAGTGATACATGTATTTTTTGTTCCATAATAAACATATTTTTTTTAAGAATATTGATTGCACTAACTTATTAGTCTTATTTTAAAATCAAGTTAAGAATGAGTCACATTGTGAAAAAAAAGCTCTAAAAGACAAGACAAGTTTTACCTCTGTATTTTTAATTTAATAAGTGTTTTCTTTTGTAAAAGAAAATATATAAGCAAAATTTTATTTTACTGTTGAGAAATATCTTATCAGGTTATCAATATAGTTACTAATGACATTATTTTTATTGAAATCTTGGGAATAGAACAAGGCACCCCTTAATTTCTTTATTTCAACCCTAAATGTGAAAAATTCATCAAGCTTGCTCAAATTACAAGATATGGCCACCTGAGTCATTCCTTCCTCAAAAAAATCTTTGTGCTAATCTTGGTACCAAAAAAGACAAGGTTACATAAGTCATGCAAATAAAATGACTGAACGAGCTGTGTCAAAGCAAGCCAAAGAAGCTGTATGTATAATTACTATAAAAAACCACTATCTATTCAAGCTGTATTGCGACGAAGACAATAAAGTTTTGAGGGTAGTTATAAAAAAAAACTAGATTATTGCAACATCCACTAAAAAAACTAACCTGCCTCAGGTGTTGTACAAAAAAACGCCTATAGTACCAATGCCTCTATATTCCTATTATTTACTTGTTGTATGAAAAGTAATAAAATTATGTCATATGGAACATTGGTAATAATTAAAGATAATTTAATAACAAGTGGATTTTTAAATAAAATATTCATTATTATATGAATAAAAGAAAAGTTATTAATAATTTTAAAACTGTACCACAATTACTGTAAAGTACTTGTCACCGCATGTTAATATTTTACATAAAGTATTTTCAAATACCTTACATGTGTAATATTTATTAAAGAAAATGTCCTAAATGAGATCCCTAGTTGAAGTAGATTTACGGATTTCTCTTACTTTTTATAAATACCCGTTATTTTAGTTCACTAACGCTATTCTAAAACTATGGTTTATAATACCTCCTGTTACTTGTTTTACATATAATACGATATATGTGGGTAGTTTCTATAATGTATTTTACTGATTAGATCATGTAAACGGTCACAACGTGATCTAGCAACAATATTCGGTAAATAAGAAGTGATTAGACAGATTTCATTACAATGTTACATATGTTATAAAAATATAAAAATGATTCAAAAGGTGCATTACATATATATATATTAATATATATATATCATTGGAATACGTTCGCTATGCATTGCTTTCAAAATAATTCTGAAATTATTATGTAGAATTGTGATACTACGCGTGAATCTGATATCTGAAAAAAACTCACTGAGCGGGAATATAGTATATACATACTGTCAACTTACTCTATTAGGCACCTGCGATTTACCCGATGCTTCTTGTGTCTCTCTCGAATTCATCTCGTCACGTTGATCAGTTTTTGCCACTTTTACACCTTAATTTTCAATATTTTCCGTAAGCCCAACGGACACGATGAACTAGGTGCTTGGAAAAACGTGATACGTCATGGCCTCTGCAAAGTGCAAACGGTATGCAGTGTTGCCAACTCTGAAACCTAGCGGATGGTAGAATGTTTCTAAAAATACGGTAGATTTTCCGAAATTATGTTGTAATTTATATTTGAAATACGGTAGAATTTCCTTATTTATTTTGTAGTGTGTTAAGAGTCAGAATTGATAAATAAGACATATTTTTAATCAGAATAACACAGTATAATTGTTTCAATATTTTTATAATTATCAATATTATGTTTTTCAATCATAGAGGGTGTTGGATTCAAATTAATAGTTTTTTACATATCGCTGTAAGGCCTATGCCCATATTTAAATAAAAAAGGTTCTTACGCGTGTACTTCTGTACGCGCGTAAGAAGTTATACTTCATTGGCATTATGTATTAAAAATAGTTTTGTTTAGATATCGTGAAAATACAGCATTTATGGAAGTGCCGTGTCGTGTTGTCGAAATCAGACGATTATTATTATTTATGACTAGATTCAAGTCATTTTGGAGGAAATCAATAATATTTATAATTTTTTTAATATTTATTCAATTGATTTCTTAATTTTTTTTAAATATTAAATATTTAACGTTAATAATTTAATAATATTTAGTATATTATTCATTAATATTAATAACACACTACTGCATATAGACTGTATAATGTATATATATATACCATCATATAGCGTGGCGACGCGTCGCCACGCCAGAAATCGGTTGTACGTGCGGCTATAGATGTTTCACATCAAAAACGGAGAAATACTTTTTCTAGAAGACGACTGTGAACATAGCTAGATTAATAGAATTTACTATTTCCTATGTTTGGGCAGTTAGTTAACTGGATGATTCCAAATCCCACTTTGTATGTATAGCTTAGCATTAACACGAGGGCATTTGTGAGGCCATAAATTAGGATTAATTTTTTAAATAGTAAAATATAATAAACCAGTACCAGATACAAGAGTCTGTGTTTCTTGATATTTTTTTCTAATAGGGAAGGCGATTTTTCCTAAGCCATGCCATGGATTTCCTCGCTGTTTTCCTTTACCTTTCATGATGTGAACGGACAACCTCAGGGTTATGAGGCGCACCCACCAATAGGCCAACACTGCCCATATTAGTACTGTTACGGCTCATACCCACGAGCCGGTTTTTCGCCGGGCCTAGCTCCGGCGAAAAACCGGGTCTATGTCCGGTCGACAGTCGTGTATGGGACACTATGACGCCATGCACACGACGCCGGCTCTCCGCGCAGCCGGGCACGGTGCTCGCCGTGTCTACGCCCGGCGCGCAGTGGAGTATGGCAGTGTATGAGCGCATGCACACGAGACTGGGCCTACACCCGGCGCGTGCCGACTACCTACGCAGTACGCACAACGCAATATTATATTTTATAATTATTGAAGTCGACCAGGAATTATTAATTGGAGATATACTACTGCGCATATTTGTATCTTCATGTTTAAATTTGGGTTCCAAAATATGTAACATTTTTATAAAAATATGTTTCTTTTTTAATTCGAAAGTACTTCTCAAATTTCTCGTCATAGTTGCTTCTGAATGAGCGTATGAAATGCACCATGATCTTCTCTTTCTGTTAACATGGGAGGTACCTAATGTCGTCTATGTATTTTTTCTCGTCTTTTTTTAGCTTTTTATACATGTATCACGCAATAATACATTTCCTCTTTTTAACACTCAACATTTTATACGTCCACAATTCATTGAATGAAAAGAGCGTATGCAGGCGGCACCTCGATGAAACCGGGTCGTGTACAAACCGCGTTGTGTGCAAGCTCGGCCGGTTTCTACCCGGCGCCGGCTAAAAACCGGGCCGTGTTGAAACCGGCTCGTGGGCATGAGCTCTTAAGTTCAAATATAGATCATGAAAATTAATTTAAAATATAGGTTTCTATTCATATGAAAGAGGTCAGTATAACATAACGTTCTAACTACAATTTAAAAACAAACAAATAAACGAATTAAATTAATCAATTTAATTACAAACGCTAAGTCTGACTCTCGTACGTCAAAATAAATTTTGACATATGGGAGGATTAGTTCGCCTCTAGTTTCTGAATCTTACCCTAACCCTACCATGGTAATTAACACCGTATTAACTCTAATCCACGTATTTTAAGTTTGTAGGAGATTTTTCTTAATTTTAAATAGCGATTAAAACGAAACTGTATACTCGAGAATCTCACCGGAATTTTTTTCATTAAAACCAGTTGAAATATCTTAATTTAATTTTAACACAGTAAATATGTTAAAATGATTTATTTTGTATTGAATATTTTAGTGAAATTGATAAAAGCTTTTAAAATTAACAATATATGTATATTCACTCACGACGCACATTATCTAATAATTCACACATAAAACGATTTACTTATTACAGATTAATTTAAACTCTGTTTTTTCATATCCATTTAATAGGACACTTAACTTTTCTCTATTAACAATAACTTATATTACTTTAGCATGTCAATGAACATAGCACTTTCAGAGTTATACACAATTTAAGAACTGACATCTCATAACAGATGAAATATTTCTTTTAACCGACTTAAAAAATCCACTTATGTCAAATCAGTCATTACTCCTGGCTCTTGCCAGCCTCAGTGATCGATTCATATTGCTCCTTGTCCAATTCGGTCATTGTAAAGCTTCCATCGGGTAATAGCAGAACTACACGCCGCGTTCCACCTGAAATTTTAATATAATTCAATAAAATTGTTCCAGACTTAATTTATATAATAACGGAATAATATATATATGTATGTACTAATATATATGTAAGGAAAACATATTTTCCTATACAAACTCTTAATATTTTATTTTTCTTCTTTGCCGAAATGTTTAATTTGTCACTTGACATAATAGATGTAAGTTGTTTAATTTTTTCATTATATTATTTTATTTTATAAAACCTAGAATATAGGCTTTAAATGTTGTTTCTTTTGTATTCACAGAGAAACGCAGTTGCACCTTATTTATTCCCAGTACTCGTATAAGCGATTGATACCATTATATATATATTATTCATCATATTCTCTCAGTAATTATTGTACTTGTGTGTTTGTAATGTTTTCATGTTCGCTAGTCTAGACCCAACCAGTGTACTTAGCGCTCGTAATAAATTAAATATATTTCTTTACTAAATTTTTATTAACAGTAAGACAAAGGACATCACTAACATTGACTATATCCGTCCTACAAAGTTCTTACATTCCGTTATATAGGTGTAAAAAATATGTGCGGAGAAAACCCTTGCTTAGAAGGTGAATACACAACGAGAAATGCGCCTTAGACCAAATAATTGATGGTAAGTGTCGGTTACAGAGGGCTATCACCCATTAAACAAAATATCGGTTGTCTGTAAAGTCGGTTTACTGACGATAGTTGAACGTGACAACGTCATAAGAAAATACTGATTGAATGGTTGCATTTTTTTCAAAAGAAAATTTTAATTTTATTTGTTTGATAGATATTTTGTATGGATACAGAGTAGGTTAATGGAAATCACAATTGAATTGATCAAGTTACATTTATTTGTACGCATAAATACAATTATGTCAATTTTTGTGTGCAAGCGAGAGCGCGAAAGGAGTGCTCTCGCTTGCACTTCAAGCCTTAAATGGAACGCCTAGGTAACGCCGCATGAGTCATGTTTTTTCGTGCGTGCAGCCGGCTCCATCGAATTATAAGACGTTGTCCCGTCAAAAATCATAAGGGAACACATACAGAAATCTAAGGCCAAGAGTTGTACAATCTCTAAGAGTTGAATCGCCACTAATTTTTGTATTAAAAACGACGTGCTATTCATTACCAAGCCATTTCAATAAAAGACGCCCGATTTGTTTGATCTGTAATATTGTAGCAAATACCTGGCGAAGGCAGATCGGCCTGCACGAGCTGCGCAATAACTTGCGTGGCGTCCTCTCCCCCCTCGCCCTCCACCTGCACGGCCACCTGCTGCAGACCTCCCGCCTCCCCGCCCGGGAGCAGCGCTGCCAGCTGCCCTGGGTCTATGGTTAGCACGTCCTGGAAGCATTTAAGCATTACATTAGTAATATGTATGAATTCAACCTTGCACAGAACTACACTACAGCACTAACATCGCCCTTTTTGCACTCCTCTGCTTAATTTAGGAATAATTTAAAACAACTATTAATGTCCTAATCCTTGTATCTATCTTCTTTATACCAGTATTTTTGTTGTTCTCCGGATTTATATTTTGCGCTGTCATGTTTTGATTTGCTTTGTTCTGTATCATATTTTTTATCAGTGAAACTTTTTGTGGAAAAAAAAAATATTATTAAAAAAAAAAAGGTATTAACTTTTTTGAAGTTATACTTCTTTAGGCGCGTTATGAAAAATTTATGAGAGTGAAATTTGACAATGCGCGCGCACCTGTGACATAAAATTAGGAGTGTGATTATAGCGTGCGCGAGCGAGATAGGAATAAGACAATCTACAAGTAAAAAGAAATAGAATATGCGTGAAGTTCGTATGCCAAGAATTTTGAATGACCATAATGACATTTGTCATTTACCTTTTAAACAAATAAAGGAGTTTTAATTATTTTTTCAAAGAAATTTAGCAATGCTTTTTGAATTATAATCAGAAGTGATTTAAATTGAATATTTAAACCAATACTAATTAATATTTGTGAAAAAACTGTGCTCATCAACCTTCCTAAGTGCTTCAATACAATTGAGGTCAACTATCCGTATGTATTATTATTATCGAGTAATGTTTTGATTAAAAAAATGACCACATTGTTTAATCAAAGCATGTAATTTTTCTGATTTAATCTAGCAAATATAAGGACAAGAGACAAAAAACAATTGATGAATCAGTGTAAGTGCACTAAATTGAATACAAAAAAAGAGTTGTCATCTTATCGCTGTGAAACATCAAAAACTGGAGGTGGAACAAAGCCAAACTATTTTTAATAATGCCAAAGAAGACGTATAACTTCTTACGCGCGTACATAAGTACACGCACCCTTTTTTTTTTTTATTGTATAGAGATGATCTGTTTTGTTTCCCAAATAAATGAACAGTCGAACTCTTGACTACCTAATACGAAATATACACCAGTTGTGTGACTTATAAACAACAAGAGCAAATCAAGAATTAACATTTTAAATAAATAAAAATATAATTTTACAAAAATTTAAATTAATCTATTGTTTATTGGGGATGTCATTAATCCAATATTAAACTTCGAAGTTTTTTGTAGGCAAGACGAAGAAAAAAACGTAATGTTACTCTTCTTAATAAAATATAGAATCTCACCTGTCCATCTTCTCCTCTGGTGACGTATGTGACTCCCTCTCCCTCCCCTTCAGCCCCGGCTTCTACACCCTCGACGGTTCCTTGGACGCCTTGCGTCGACACTAACAACGTCTGTTGGGAAATATCTTTGTTATGGCAAACATTTAATTATATTTTAGAGTTGCCCAAAAGGTTTCTTAGTGATTTACTAATTTATGTTTCTCTTTTTAAAATATAGATATATAAATACATACAATAATATGTGAATTCCCTTGAAACATGTTTGTAAGTTTATTATAATTATGTTTGCTTGACTCAGACAGATTCTGCACAAAATATGCATGCTTCAAATTAAGGGCATTGAAAGCATCTACATTGATACACATATAATTAAAAATCTTTTAAAAATAGGAAAAATAGGCATCACCTGTCCATCCTCCCTCGTGACGTACATAACGCCTTCCCCGTCTCCATCGCCCCCTCCCTCCTCTGCCCCCTCTACGCCTTCCGCTGCCACTAGTAAAGTCTGACCCGCTTCGTTTTCACCCGCGACCTGATAATTATTTCATAATATCCATGTAATGCGTGGTTAATTGGTAACACGCGTTAAAAATTCTGATTCGAAGGACCATTCATTTAGTTCCGGTAAAACAATAATCACTAGATACATATGTCAAAGTTGCTTACAAAAATAATTAATTTTAACTAGTATTTTTAAAGTTCCATGCTATAGAATAATAAACGCTAGGTGTGGTTTACTTCAGGATATTTAAGAATAACATAAAAAGGGGATATACCTGGTAGAGTACCCCATCCTCCCCTCGTATCATGAGCGGATGTCCCGAATGTAACTGCAGTCCTACTTCTTCAGTTTCATCCTCTCCTACTCCCTCTTCTAATAATTGCTTCACTGCACTCGACTCTACTTTTACCTCCGTCTGCAATTGGTAAATGAATTTTAAGTATGAGCAAGCCAGACACAAGTTAGATAAAGAGTAGAGTTATAAAACAGTTATATAAAGTCTAACTGCAGATTTAACATACATATATACCATCGTTGGCTCATATAAACCTTGCGTGGTTCGGAACACAAAGTATGAAATTTGTTATATTTTATTAAATAAATATTTCACATTTACGTTTACATTACACTTGTGTGTATGAAAATTATTATTGAAACAGATGCGTAACTCAGGTAGTTCATTTTATTTTAATTTTATATATTATTTTCTCTTATATTAACTAAAAGAAGTGTAAGTTTATTAACTTAACCGGTTTGTTTAAATTATATTTATGATACAGAAATAATTGTACACTTTTAGTACCGAAGTTAGGCAGATTTGAACTAAATAGTTAAAATTAGTCTACTTACACCATCTTCGTCTGTCAGCATTGGCAGTGAGGGCTGGGCACCGTCGCCTTGCACAACTATTCCTGTTGTACCACCAGGTGACATTTCCACCTGCAAACAATAATTTAATTTTTTAATATGGTTTTGGCATTTAAAAGTTTACTCACTGGATAATATTCCTGTAATTTAATTCAGTCGAAAACTATGTATTTAACGCTAGATTTTTTTAAACAATCTTTTTAATCAATAAGTATCTATTTACACATCTTAAAATTAAAAAATAACCTTTTAATTCGATATCACGTGAAATAAAAAAATATGTAGATTTAAGAGTTAATTGCGATTATTTTGATTAGAATAATCTGATTTAAAAAATGTATAAGCTCGACATTAGCTCTAGTGCTAAAGAATATTTTGCACTAGAGCTGATGTCGAGCTCTACCGTCAGTATAATAGTATTTATTTGCTAACCTTCATAAGCATAGTGCCCTGCGTCTGCGTGTCAGGCGGAGGCGTGGGCGGCGGCGAAGGCGTGGGCGGTGGCGTGGGCTCGTTCTCCGCCCTGGCCAGACGTTTTCCCGTCAGAGGGCACAGGGTCAGCGGCCGATCGGGGCTGGTCGGCGGAATCGGACCCAGCTCCTTAGGGAAGGGGTCTTCCACGCCGTCAGACGACTCTGACGATGTGCTCCACTACAATGAGAATTTTATAGTTTAATTGACTGTCATAAACGTAACTAATTTGAAAAAAAAGCGGTTAATTAATTATTTTTAGAATTACTGGGAGAACTATTTATTTTAAACTAATATTATCATCTTATTAATGTGTCATAGCTAGTAGGTTAGTGCATACCACAAAATATAATTTTTATCTTTATTGCCAATATTATAATTAATTAACGTTAACTAAATTAATAAACAGGGACGCCCCCCTAAATCCGAATTGGGTAATGGCAGACATTTCGGCAAAATGATAAATCATTATTTTTAAACAAGTAAGGCAATATTCTGTGCATTTTATTAAAAAAGAAACACATTAAATAACCATGTAATATAAACCTTATCAAAATCGAACGAGACCGTCTTCTCCTTAAGCCGTACGGCGGGCGAGAGTAAGAAAGAACCTCGGCCGCGACCCCTCATTGTCCCACCTCGACGTAACAGGCTGTCACCCGCGCTCTGGGACTGATAAAAAAAATCGTATTATTCTTGCAATCGTCCTAATACGGCTAATTATTTTAGTTTTTTACTCAAGGTTTTGTCATAAGCATTTAATGTTAACGATGAAAAGTGGGCTTTGCCGATATTGTGTTAGCATTTTAGGGAGTGTTCAAGTATTACGTAACGAATTTTGGGGGAGGGGGTCCTTTTGTAAAACGTTACGATGCGGGGCGGGGATTGAATTAAGCGATATTGTTAATATTATTTTCGACTTTCCAGTACTTTACACCACATAATGATAACTTTTAGGTATAACGAGTCACTAGGTGGTCACGAAACGTTTTACTATTGGGTACAGAAAAACGTTACGGTGCGTTACATGGAAGGGGGTGTCAGTAATCTCCAAAAATTGCGTGACGTAATACTTGAACGCTCCCTTAACTGGCGTATATTGAAACTATAAATGTTTCTTCATTCGGCAGAATATTATATAAAGAAATTCATTACAGCCCTGCGATTCTGTAACTCACTTTTCGAACTCACACAGCGGTTTTCGCATCGGCGGTCGCTCTCAAATCAGTCGTGAAGCAGTCATTTTATGATTTGGCATTCTGATAAACAATAAACTACAAGTTCCCACCTTTTCAGAATGCCAAATCATAAAATGACTGCTTCACGACTGATTTGAGAGCGACCGCCGATGCGAAAACCGCTGTGTGAGTTCGAAAAGTGAGTTACAGAAACGCAGGGCAGAAATCTAAAGTATTTGTCTCTTTTTAACACTACGTAAATACGATTTGATAGAAAGAGACGAAACAATACTTCCGTTATGAGTGCAATTACTGTTTAGTCTTATGAATAACAGGTCAATGTATATCCGATAAAGCGTCTGTGACCTCACGCCTGTCTTAATGGCAGTCCATCAATCCGGAACTCGGCTTTTAAATCAATCAACTACAGTTCATTTAAGAGAGTATTATTTTAACGTAAATAAGAAATAGGTATGAATCATATAAGTTCTTAAATAAATAATTATAGACGAATAGTATAAAAAAATAAAAATATTTTTTAGAATTCCTAAAATAAATACCAATACCGACTTTGGCCAAAGAAGCAGGTTATTATTTCGGCGTGTTTTTTTATTTCATCTCACCTGAGCCAACTTCTTGTTCAATATCGTTACAGGCGACTTCCCATCAGACCCTGAAGATGGAGCTGGCCTTTGTATCGTCCTCTGTATAATCTTCTGTCCAGACGGAGTGATAATCGTCTTCTCGGTCACCTGTTGTCCTGCTGGTCCATATGTTTTCTTCACCTGGAACGATAATATGCTGAATTTTTTTGTTCTCAAAGAAAATCTCTCTTGATTTTCTATAAGTAATATTGGCATATCTATAGTAAGTTTTTACTAAGGATATCACAATTTTCTACTATAGATATTTTTTGTATGTTAAAATCCAATACAATTTTTGATGTAAGAGAGTCAGACTGCGCTAAGTCATATTTCGGAGTCTTGCTCAAAGACCACTGTTAAATAGCCTAGTTTCATTATTACATTAAATTTTCATGAATTACAAAGTTTTTTATCTTTTGTTTACGGTTGCAGGGATCAAAGTATTTTATAGAAATTATATTTTATATTCAAGAAAACACACAGCTTTTAGAACTTAAATTTAAATGAATAGTTTACATACATTACTTTTTTAAGACAAATTTAAAAAAAAAACAAGAAATGTAAAGAATAACTCTCAGTAACTATGTTGCCCAATGATATATGCTGACAAATTCAGTTCAGGTCTTTAAAGCATTTGTAATAAGGCTCACATTTCCGCATTTTCGTACAGTATTCATGTAGTTTACAGTTAGAACAAATGTTGATTTTAATTGAAAAATTAAATCGCTAAAAATTATACCTGTGTAGATGGTGACGACATCGATTGTTTTCTGTTTTCTTCCATTTTTTTCTGGAAATAAAATCATTCATAATAAGAAAATCGTACACTTTTCTTATGGTAATTATGTATATGTCACCGTAATCTATCTCGCGAGATTGTGAACCTCAACGTACTGCTTACGATTTAACGTATTATTATTCGGTAGATTGTAATCTATCGAAGTGAAACCGTCAAATTGCGAAACGGAACGCACCTCGCGCGCTGATTGGTTGAACGGCATATGACCCGCGCCACCATATTTGTTTGTTGTCGAATGTATGCCATTCAATCAATCAGCTGTTGATAAATTGCATTAATTTAATTCATTAAAAAAAATCTCATTATCTTGTAAAATATTATAAGAAAATAATGATTAACTCATATTAGTATGCCCCATACCCCATACGAGGTAATATTACCTGTTTGGCAGCCATAATCTGCTTCTTGATAACTTCTTGGTCTATATTAAGACCGGGTCCAATTTTTCCTGGCGAATTGATCTTCATAATACCAGAGCTTTTTGACATTATGTACACACCTAAAACATATTTTTTACTTTGTGAAATAAAATTAATTAAAATTAAAAGTGAAAAAAAAAAAACATTTTCTTTTCAGGACTTAAAAGACAAAAGATTAGTATGTCAAAACAATCTTATAAGGTACTTTTAACTTGTTGGCTTGTAAGGCTAGTAAAGCAAATATATTTTTAAATATGGCAATAGTTTAGCAAAGAATTAAAGTCAACTCGACAATATAACTGACCTGTACTCAAGCTAGGCATGTGTTTTGGGTCAACTTTGATGACACCCTTAATGTTAGGCATCCCTTTTCCACTGAGTCCTAGCGACTTTACCAATTCTGGGTCCACTGATGACTTCGGAGAGGGCTGACCGTTCACGACACTTCTTACTTCCACTAGAAAGCGAAGGAAAATAAAAGGTTATAATATGTAAAATAAAATATACATATTTAAATATAAAAAAACTATGCTTGCAGGTAATAACAGAAATTCTAGTTAGTCAAATTTCATGTTTACCATGGCATCCATATTATATCATAATTCCTGATAAAGAATTTTATTCCTTTTTCAACATAAAAATATACGTTGCGATACGATTCTGTGTTGAATATAAATTATAATAAATATTATACATACATACGAAGTGGGCGTAACAAATTCGAAATATATACATATTTTTATTAAAAAAAAATATCTATATAGTTCTAGTTAAAAAATCAATTAATGTATAGTTTGTACATGAAACCTTTCTGCTCTTCATTAAATTATAATATATTTTAAATTATCGTTGGCAGCATTATATTAATTGAATAATTATTAAATTAACGACAAAAGTTGTGAAAGTAAAAATGAATTGACCTGACATGGAAAATAAAAGTCTAACAAAAAAAAATATTTACCTTTGGGTTCATCAGGTTCGGAGTAGTCATTGTCAGAAGAATGCCTGACCCGTTTGCTAGGAGGTTCATCATCTGCGTTGCCACACCAAGCTTTCACCTGGTCTAGGGCACGGGCCTTACTGCTACGTTGTAGGCGACTGTAATTTTACGTTAAAAAACTGTAAATTTATATTTATTTAATGTCTACACTATACTAATGTTTTTCAGATGAATGATTCCTATTTTGGTTTCTAAAGAATATACTCAAAAACTAATGGACCAATTTAAATCTTTTCACCAATACATACTATTCAGGGATAATATATAATGCAATTTATTGTTAAATATTATAAATAAATATCCTGCCCTGCAAATATATTAGTATAGTCAGTCGAATATATAAATTTTATTGATTACTATATTTTTATATCGATTTTTAACTTATCTTAATCCAGAGGCGCTACAACCCTCCTGACTTATATTACATCACTTTGTTCAGATCATTATGCTTTTTAGACAATTAAGGGATCTATTCTGTGTTTGACAAAGGCTGCATTGCTAAAAGTATCTCAAGTCACAACCTCCACTTTACTGCCAAATACGTCAAATTTCAAATGGAAAAAAATATTTGACAGCTCTTGAAATCAGAACTTCGAGTGATGTTCAAGAAAACAGAGCTCAGATATTATGTCGGTTTTTTCAAGATGTTTTCTTTCCCAATACAACCAAGTGTCAAATGCGGTATTACAATCTAACTCAGGGTTAAGTCGACTAAAGTCTAGACCAAGACTGCTTTAGTTGATATTATTTATATAAACACTAAAGCAAGTGGTGTATCAATCTGTTGTTTTTCCTTACCCAGTAGGTGTCAATGTAGGAGATTCATTTTTCTTCACCATCTGTTTGACGACTTGCGGTAATGGAGTACTGGTTTGCTTTACCTGAAAATTAAAAATATATTCCTTTTAGTTGGTCAATTTTATTACATAAAACCAGGGGTCTCCAAACTTTCCAGCCTTAGGGCCATACTGATTACTCCAGTAAGTTCCGAGGGCCAAAACCATATGTTATTATGCTTCTTATAAGTTATGTTTTTATCACAAAAACAATAACGATAAGCCTACAACAACGTTATGAGTAGTTAGCCCATGACCATATCAATGTAGATGTCATATTAATAATTATTCAACATAAAATTAGAATACTGCAGTAAACTAAATTTAATTTGCTATAAAAAATATGTTCTCTAAAAGGAGTTTTCAAGTATGCTAGCTCTCCGCGGGCCGGACAAAATCTGTCCGTGGGCCAGATGTGGCCCTCGGGCCGTAGTTTGGAGACCCCTGCATAAAACTAAGCATGCGATTCTACGTAATAACATGACGTATTATATCAAAATCAACTCACCTAAACGTACGCTATAGAATTGGGCAATATTTTTGTTCTATTAAGTATGGAATTTATGTGAATAAAAAAATTAATTATGTACCGACTTGTGTTGGACTAGAGATATTGTTTCCCGATCACAATAGAATAGAACGAGCTATTTCTCGTACTTTTACATTTACCTCCCTGTTTTAATAAGTCTTAAACATCTTTCCATTTTCATCTTTGTGATGCAATGTGTAAGTTTGATGTATCTGAGAGAATGGAAATACAGCCTACATGAATTGGTGTCAACAAGCTCTTATTAATATTTTTACTAGCTCCGCGAGGTTTTGGGAAACATGGCGTAAAAGTATATGAGGTTCGAATACCGCGTAGAAAAATTGCCGCGAGATTGATTTCTACACGTTTAAAATTCTATCAACTATAACGAAATTTTAAAACAATTTCTAATGTATATATATATAAATCAGTTGATACCTGAACTGTATTTTGAGCTTGTTGTTGTGCCCTTAGCGCCTTAAGCTCTTTCTGCCGGGCAAGTTGTTTCTCGAACGCCTCCAGCAAGTGTTTGCATGTGTCCATATTTTCTACTGGCTCCCATGTGTTCTGCTCACTATAAAACAATATCCTTTTTAATAGAAATAATAACAAGTACACTTTACCACCTAATTTACTTAATAATCAAGTTTAATCAAATTTTGACTACTAAAGTTATTATATAGATTCAGAAAGAAAAAAATTATTCAGCCACAACGGTTCATCAAAAAAGTTGTGTCATAAAATTGTAAATAATATGATAGAAATAAGAGAAGAGATATAGAAGAGGCCTTTATGTCCAAGACACACAGAAGACCAAACATTTTGTGTTATTATATTTAAAATTATTGTATGCTCTCAGAAATAATTTAATATAAATATAATGAATAAATCAAATTTGGATGTTAAGTAAACCGTAATGGATGATCCACATAATAAGTAAAGAATTAAAAAAAAGTGCAACTAAGACTTACTGCGGATATCCTTCCCACTTGAGCAGATATTCATAATGCTTCCGCCGTGGGTTGAATCTCTTTGCCAAAATCTTCTCAACCACAAACTGCTGCGAGACCTCTCCGGGTGCCGCGTCCCGCTCCGTCCGCCGCGCAATACGCTCCGCCGCCGGAACACGCTCTTGCGCACCGCGGATGCTTTCGTTATCCTCCTGCTGGTAAAATGTGACGATAACAGGAAAAAAAAATCATGTGTCCAATTCACACGTGGTAGAAGTGAAACCTTCAAAAACAAAGTTTTTATAATTAAAATATGTAAATTAGACTTTTTCTCTATCTAAATGTAGGATCTTTTCTTTAAAAAAAATATAATTTTAATGTTAAATTTCAATTAAATTAATATCAATGTTTATTTGGTAAAAACTAAAATAATAATGTGGGAGAAAATGAGATAGGAAGCATTATACGGTGTATAAACTTTAAATTAAGCAAACTTTTAATTAAGTGTAGTAAGAAGTTTTCACTTCAAAAAGTTTCTATAACTAATGATATGTAAATAAAATTGATTAATAATCTAAATTTATAATTAAACTACTTACTTGATTTTTTAATTCAGAAAATGATCAAATACACACTAATTTAAAGTTTATACTGTATAATGCCTACTATCTCACTCTCTCCCACGCCAAATCCTATTAATTTATGTGTCTGTCTCTTTTTACTGTCGCTTTTTCCGTTGCATCCGGTTTGAAATCACGATTCTAAAGAAGTTTCACTTCAAAAATTGTACCGGTAATAGTCTTACCCTCTGATCAGTACTTCACCGGGAATCCACCCAGTGATAGATGCACTGGCAACGAAAAATTGCAACAAAAGATGTGAAAGGTATTCGACAAAAGGGCAGGTGGATTTAAATAATTGAAATGGGATATTCAAAGGCTGTTAACTAATTTTAAAAAAGCTTTCTCAATTGGCTAGAATTATCACACATGTATAACTCTGTCCTGGATTTGATTCTTACCAAAACAACTATTAATTGGCTGAGAACAGCTTATGTGTAAATAACAGCGTATATATTTCATTTAATTTGACAGTAATATTCTATGTTTAACAACCTTCACTTTAGCTGCTGGAATAATTGGTTTGGAAACAGCTTTGTTTGACTTATCATCACTCTCCTCTCCAGATGGCTGGGGTTCAGTCTCTTCCTAAAAAAATACAAATTATAATTTATATTTAATCAAACATTGATTTGAGTCAGTAAAACATATTAAAGCATTTAAAAGGTTGGTTTATATCCAGAGATCTTCTTTTAGTGGTAATGGTATATCAAGCCATTTATAAGAAAATTAAAACTAATTAATTGGTAATTACATTTCACAACTGAAATGCATCTTAAGATATATAATAATTTTTTCATGTAAAGCTTACAATTATTACAATCATGAATGCTCTATGTCTATAATGCAATATGTATTGGTAATTAATATATTTCTTTCCCTAACAATCAAACATGATCCCACAGTTAAATTTAACCAGTGGTTAAGAATATCTTTACTTGCGTAATATATGATATCTCATAATATAGTTGCAAACTGACCTGTTTTTTCTTTGGCCTGCCTCTTCTTTTAACATCACCGGCTGGTGTCTGAACAGGAACAAGTTGGTCATCAGATTTCACTTCCATCTATGAACACCAAAATATATATCATTATAAAAACAATAATTTAGTATGTGTGATATAAGATTAAAAATAATGTTTTTTAAAAAAAAAAAATGTAGTCAGTATTAATTACATCTTTAAATTATAAAATTAAATTTATGATTATTGATTTTAGTAACTTTTTAGTAATGACAAGAGTAACCACAGATAAAAGCCATCATATAAATATAACAATTATAATTTTCATAAATGGTCAAAAAATAAACGTACCACTTTAGCATGAGCAAACTTAGACAAGGACTGCACATTGGATCCAGCAGTTATCCAAGTTGTGCGTTGTGCTTCTGGCATACGACACCATTGCTGATAAAGCTTCCAACTGTTATCTACAGATGTTGACCCATCTCGAGCGGAAGCACATTTCCATAAAAGGAATGCCCATACTTGAGCTTTGCTTTCATTCTGCAACAAAAACTCATATACTACTTAACCTATCATAGAGGTTATTGCACTTTAAGACATTAACATATAATATTGTTTAAATAAACCCTTAGTATTCTAGATATGTTTCAATAATAACATCATACATATATATCACAAATCAGAAAAAGTCTGACAATAGACAATATCAGTACTCCTTTTAATATTATAAATTTAAATAATTTATAAAAGCTACTTGCTATCCTATTACAATTAAAAAGCAATACGAAAATTACCCTTGTTCTAGTCCCTAGTCAATGAGAAAACTTGGAAATATGTAAAAAAAGAAGCATGTAATTAAAGGTGCAATTGTGGATTGCCTGTATGCTTTCAAGCGAGAAACAGCTATGATTATATATGCTCCCCTCGCCCTCCACCTGCACGGCCACCTGCTGCAGACCTCCCGCCTCCCGCCCGGGAGCAGCGCTGCCAGCTGCCCTGGGTCTATGGTTAGCACGTCCTGGAAGCATTTAAGCATTACATTAGTAATATGTATGAATTCAACCTTGCACAGAACTACACTACAGCACTAACATCGCCCTTTTGCACTCCTCTGCTTAATTTAGGAATAATTTAAAACAACTATTAATGTCCTAATCCTTGTATCTATCTTCTTTATACCAGTATTTTTGTTGTTCTCCGGATTTATATTTTGCGCTGTCATGTTTTGATTTGCTTTGTTCTGTATCATATTTTTTATCAGTGAAACTTTTTGTGGAAAAAAAAATATTATTAAAAAAAAGGTATTAACTTTTTTGAAGTTATACTTCTTTAGGCGCGTTATGAAAAATTTATGAGAGTGAAATTTGACAATGCGCGCGCACCTGTGACATAAAATTAGGAGTGTGATTATAGCGTGCGCGAGCGAGATAGGAATAAGACAATCTACAAGTAAAAAGAAATAGAATATGCGTGAAGTTCGTATGCCAAGAATTTTGAATGACCATAATGACATTTGTCATTTACCTTTTAAACAAATAAAGGAGTTTTAATTATTTTTTCAAAGAAATTTAGCAATGCTTTTTGAATTATAATCAGAAGTGATTTAAATTGAATATTTAAACCAATACTAATTAATATTTGTGAAAAAACTGTGCTCATCAACCTTCCTAAGTGCTTCAATACAATTGAGGTCAACTATCCGTATGTATTATTATTATCGAGTAATGTTTTGATTAAAAAAATGACCACATTGTTTAATCAAAGCATGTAATTTTTCTGATTTAATCTAGCAAATATAAGGACAAGAGACAAAAACAATTGATGAATCAGTGTAAGTGCACTAAATTGAATACAAAAAAAGAGTTGTCATCTTATCGCTGTGAAACATCAAAAACTGGAGGTGGAACAAAGCCAAACTATTTTTAATAATGCCAAAGAAGACGTATAACTTCTTACGCGCGTACATAAGTACACGCACCCTTTTTTTTTTTATTGTATAGAGATGATCTGTTTTGTTTCCCAAATAAATGAACAGTCGAACCCTTGACTACCTAATATGAAATATACACCAGTTGTGTGACTTATAAACAACAAGAGCAAATCAAGAATTAACATTTTAAATAAATAAAAATATAATTTTACAAAAATTTAAATTAATCTATTGTTTATTGGGGATGTCATTAATCCAATATTAAACTTCGAAGTTTTTTGTAGGCAAGACGAAGAAAAAAACGTAATGTTACTCTTTCTTAATAAAATATAGAATCTCACCTGTCCATCTTCTCCCTCTGGTGACGTATGTGACTCCCTCTCCCTCCCCTTCAGCCCCGGCTTCTACACCCTCGACGGTTCCTTGGACGCCTTGCGTCGACACTAACAACGTCTGTTGGGAAATATCTTTGTTATGGCAAACATTTAATTATATTTTAGAGTTGCCCAAAAGGTTTCTTAGTGATTTACTAATTTATGTTTCTCTTTTAAAATATAGATATATAAATACATACAATAATATGTGAATTCCCTTGAAACATGTTTGTAAGTTTATTATAATTATGTTTGCTTGACTCAGACAGATTCTGCACAAAATATGCATGCTTCAAATTAAGGGCATTGAAAGCATCTACATTGATACACATATAATTAAAAATCTTTTTAAAAATAGGAAAAATAGGCATCACCTGTCCATCCTCCCTCGTGACGTACATAACGCCTTCCCCGTCTCCATCGCCCCCTCCCTCCTCTGCCCCCTCTACGCCTTCCGCTGCCACTAGTAAAGTCTGACCCGCTTCGTTTTCACCCGCGACCTGATAATTATTTCATAATATCCATGTAATGCGTGGTTAATTGGTAACACGCGTTAAAAATTCTGATTCGAAGGACCATTCATTTAGTTCCGGTAAAACAATAATCACTAGATACATATGTCAAAGTTGCTTACAAAAATAATTAATTTTAACTAGTATTTTTAAAGTTCCATGCTATAGAATAATAAACGCTAGGTGTGGTTTACTTCAGGATATTTAAGAATAACATAAAAAGGGGATATACCTGGTAGAGTACCCCATCCTCCCTCGTATCATGAGCGGATGTCCCGAATGTAACTGCAGTCCTACTTCTTCAGTTTCATCCTCTCCTACTCCCTCTTCTAATAATTGCTTCACTGCACTCGACTCTACTTTTACCTCCGTCTGCAATTGGTAAATGAATTTTTAAGTATGAGCAAGCCAGACACAAGTTAGATAAAGAGTAGAGTTATAAAACAGTTATATAAAGTCTAACTGCAGATTTAACATACATATATACCATCGTTGGCTCATATAAACCTTGCGTGGTTCGGAACACAAAGTATGAAATTTGTTATATTTTATTAAATAAATATTTCACATTTACGTTTACATTACACTTGTGTGTATGAAAATTATTATTGAAACAGATGCGTAACTCAGGTAGTTCATTTTATTTTAATTTTATATATTATTTTCTCTTATATTAACTAAAAGAAGTGTAAGTTTATTAACTTAACCGGTTTGTTTAAATTATATTTATGATACAGAAATAATTGTACACTTTTAGTACCGAAGTTAGGCAGATTTGAACTAAATAGTTAAAATTAGTCTACTTACACCATCTTCGTCTGTCAGCATTGGCAGTGAGGGCTGGGCACCGTCGCCTTGCACAACTATTCCTGTTGTACCACCAGGTGACATTTCCACCTGCAAACAATAATTTAATTTTTTAATATGGTTTTGGCATTTAAAAGTTTACTCACTGGATAATATTCCTGTAATTTAATTCAGTCGAAAACTATGTATTTAACGCTAGATTTTTTTAAACGGTCTTTTTAATCAATAAGTATCTATTTACACATCTTAAAATTAAAAAATAACCTTTTAATTCGATATCACGTGAAATAAAAAAATATGTAGATTTAAGAGTTAATTGCGATTATTTTGATTAGAATAATCTGATTTAAAAAATGTATAAGCTCGACATTAGCTCTAGTGCAAAAGAATATTTTGCACTAGAGCTGATGTCGAGCTCTACCGTCAGTATAATAGTATTTATTTGCTAACCTTCATAAGCATAGTGCCCTGCGTCTGCGTGTCAGGCGGAGGCGTGGGCGGCGGCGAAGGCGTGGGCGGTGGCGTGGGCTCGTTCTCCGCCCTGGCCAGACGTTTTCCCGTCAGAGGGCACAGGGTCAGCGGCCGATCGGGGCTGGTCGGCGGAATCGGACCCAGCTCCTTAGGGAAGGGGTCTTCCACGCCGTCAGACGACTCTGACGATGTGCTCCACTACAATGAGAATTTTATAGTTTAATTGACTGTCATAAACGTAACTAATTTGAAAAAAAAGCGGTTAATTAATTATTTTTAGAATTACTGGGAGAACTATTTATTTTAAACTAATATTATCATCTTATTAATGTGTCATAGCTAGTAGGTTAGTGCATACCACAAAATATAATTTTTATCTTTATTGCCAATATTATAATTAATTAACGTTAACTAAATTAATAAACAGGGACGCCCCCTAAATCCGAATTGGGTAATGGCAGACATTTCGGCAAAATGATAAATCATTATTTTTAAACAAGTAAGGCAATATTCTGTGCATTTTATTAAAAAAGAAACACATTAAATAACCATGTAATATAAACCTTATCAAAATCGAACGAGACCGTCTTCTCCTTAAGCCGTACGGCGGGCGAGAGTAAGAAAGAACCTCGGCCGCGACCCCTCATTGTCCCACCTCGACGTAACAGGCTGTCACCCGCGCTCTGGGACTGATAAAAAAATCGTATTATTCTTGCAATCGTCCTAATACGGCTAATTATTTTAGTTTTTTACTCAAGGTTTTGTCATAAGCATTTAATGTTAACGATGAAAAGTGGGCTTTGCCGATATTGTGTTAGCATTTTAGGGAGTGTTCAAGTATTACGTAACGAATTTTGGGGGAGGGGGTCCTTTTGTAAAACGTTACGATGCGGGGCGGGGATTGAATTAAGCGATATTGTTAATATTATTTTCGACTTTCCAGTACTTTACACCACATAATGATAACTTTTAGGTATAACGAGTCACTAGGTGGTCACGAAACGTTTTACTATTGGGTACAGAAAAAACGTTACGGTGCGTTACATGGAAGGGGGTGTCAGTAATCTCCAAAAATTGCGTGACGTAATACTTGAACGCTCCCTTAACTGGCGTATATTGAAACTATAAATGTTTCTTCATTCGGCAGAATATTATATAAAGAAATTCATTACAGCCCTGCGATTCTGTAACTCACTTTTCGAACTCACACAGCGGTTTTCGCATCGGCGGTCGCTCTCAAATCAGTCGTGAAGCAGTCATTTTATGATTTGGCATTCTGATAAACAATAAACTACAAGTTCCCACCTTTTCAGAATGCCAAATCATAAAATGACTGCTTCACGACTGATTTGAGAGCGACCGCCGATGCGAAAACCGCTGTGTGAGTTCGAAAAGTGAGTTACAGAAACGCAGGGCAGAAATCTAAAGTATTTGTCTCTTTTAACACTACGTAAATACGATTTGATAGAAAGAGACGAAACAATACTTCCGTTATGAGTGCAATTACTGTTTAGTCTTATGAATAACAGGTCAATGTATATCCGATAAAGCGTCTGTGACCTCACGCCTGTCTTAATGGCAGTCCATCAATCCGGAACTCGGCTTTTAAATCAATCAACTACAGTTCATTTAAGAGAGTATTATTTTAACGTAAATAAGAAATAGGTATGAATCATATAAGTTCTTAAATAAATAATTATAGACGAATAGTATAAAAAAATAAAAATATTTTTTAGAATTCCTAAAATAAATACCAATACCGACTTTGGCCAAAGAAGCAGGTTATTATTTCGGCGTGTTTTTTTATTTCATCTCACCTGAGCCAACTTCTTGTTCAATATCGTTACAGGCGACTTCCCATCAGACCCTGAAGATGGAGCTGGCCTTTGTATCGTCCTCTGTATAATCTTCTGTCCAGACGGAGTGATAATCGTCTTCTCGGTCACCTGTTGTCCTGCTGGTCCATATGTTTTCTTCACCTGGAACGATAATATGCTGAATTTTTTTGTTCTCAAAGAAAATCTCTCTTGATTTTCTATAAGTAATATTGGCATATCTATAGTAAGTTTTTACTAAGGATATCACAATTTTCTACTATAGATATTTTTTGTATGTTAAAATCCAATACAATTTTTGATGTAAGAGAGTCAGACTGCGCTAAGTCATATTTCGGAGTCTTGCTCAAAGACCACTGTTAAATAGCCTAGTTTCATTATTACATTAAATTTTCATGAATTACAAAGTTTTTTTATCTTTTGTTTACGGTTGCAGGGATCAAAGTATTTTATAGAAATTATATTTTATATTCAAGAAAACACACAGCTTTTAGAACTTAAATTTAAATGAATAGTTTACATACATTACTTTTTTAAGACAAATTAAAAAACAAGAAATTTAAAGAATAACTCTCAGTAACTATGTTGCCCAATGATATATGCTGACAAATTCAGTTCAGGTCTTTAAAGCATTTGTAATAAGGCTCACATTTCCGCATTTTCGTACAGTATTCATGTAGTTTACAGTTAGAACAAATGTTGATTTTAATTGAAAAAATTAAATCGCTAAAAATTATACCTGTGTAGATGGTGACGACATCGATTGTTTTCTGTTTTCTTCCATTTTTTTCTGGAAATAAAATCATTCATAATAAGAAAATCGTACACTTTTCTTATGGTAATTATGTATATGTCACCGTAATCTATCTCGCGAGATTGTGAACCTCAACGTACTGCTTACGATTTAACGTATTATTATTCGGTAGATTGTAATCTATCGAAGTGAAACCGTCAAATTGCGAAACGGAACGCACCTCGCGCGCTGATTGGTTGAACGGCATATGACCCGCGCCACCATATTTGTTTGTTGTCGAATGTATGCCATTCAATCAATCAGCTGTTGATAAATTGCATTAATTTAATTCATTAAAAAAATCTCATTATCTTGTAAAATATTATAAGAAAATAATGATTAACTCATATTAGTATGCCCCATACCCCATACGAGGTAATATTACCTGTTTGGCAGCCATAATCTGCTTCTTGATAACTTCTTGGTCTATATTAAGACCGGGTCCAATTTTTCCTGGCGAATTGATCTTCATAATACCAGAGCTTTTTGACATTATGTACACACCTAAAACATATTTTTTACTTTGTGAAATAAAATTAATTAAAATTAAAAGTGAAAAAAAAACATTTTCTTTTCAGGACTTAAAAGACAAAAGATTAGTATGTCAAAACAATCTTATAAGGTACTTTTAACTTGTTGGCTTGTAAGGCTAGTAAAGCAAATATATTTTTAAATATGGCAATAGTTTAGCAAAGAATTAAAGTCAACTCGACAATATAACTGACCTGTACTCAAGCTAGGCATGTGTTTTGGGTCAACTTTGATGACACCCTTAATGTTAGGCATCCCTTTTCCACTGAGTCCTAGCGACTTTACCAATTCTGGGTCCACTGATGACTTCGGAGAGGGCTGACCGTTCACGACACTTCTTACTTCCACTAGAAAGCGAAGGAAAATAAAAGGTTATAATATGTAAAATAAAATATACATATTTAAATATAAAAAAACTATGCTTGCAGGTAATAACAGAAATTCTAGTTAGT